CAGTCATCTAAGCAGTTATTTAACCTTGAGGGAAATTTGTGTAGGAGCTATGAAATCATGAATTTAACTTCAACAGAAACGGAAGGAACAACACCATTTCCAAGATGCAACCATAGGTAGTTGAGATGTTTTAGTTTCTGAGCCTTCAATGTTGTTGAGACATTGTGAAAATTTCTGTCCCAAAAATATACAAGTCCTTTGCTGTTATGGTTTTAGGAACTATTTGTCTTATGGGTATGATAAGAACTTTTTCCTTAAAGCTTTTTGAAAAATGTAATTCAAATACCCAAATTAAAAGAGCAGATGTTTGGTGTCACAAAGACACCATCTGAAGAAAAGATTCTGTTATTGCTGTGTTTAAGGGTTGCCTTTGTAATCTATGTATTATTTAACCCTTCAACTCACCATTGTTTTAACTAAAATGACCACAGTTCTAAAATAATAGATTTTTATTATTTAAAAAATCTCAACCAGTGTACATGTATGATATACACCAACTTCTTTGCCATAGCCCACCATGTAGTTTTTCCGACAGATAAGGGATTATAATAAGTGATAGTTTGGACTAAGGCAATGGGAGAATCATGGATGCTCTAGAACTTATACAGTAAATGGCAGCCTTAATATTACAAGTTCTACATACTGTTAGTGAAATATTCTTTACATTGTGTTGTAATTGAGATCTCAATTGCTACCATACTGAGGAGAATTTTGAATGTTGCAAAACTGACCTCTCTGATGAAAGATTACTGAATGAGAGTGTACAAATCTCTGAATGTGCCACCAGTAACAATGAAGGTTTAATGAGTGGCTCCAAACATGCAATTTGATTTTACACTGAATGAAGATGTCACCTTCTCTTAAACATTAGACAACCCAGAAGAATAAAATACTTAATCTTGAGCACTTCATATATTATCCTATAGTTTGATGTGTCCATTCTGTTTCATGACCTAAACAACACCGTTGCCATTTGCTAGACCGTTTGGTAGACTGTTCGGTAGTGTTTTCTCTTCAAGCAATTCCTTCAACATCTTGATACACATGTGCAAGCAACGAGGAACGTGAAAACAGCCTGTGATAAATATATAAGCATTTTGTGAGTTATTTATTAAGGCTAACTGTGCAACTATGTGAAGTAGTGCATACTGTTTTTTCAGTTATTTTGAATTGTGACAGACTGGGTTAAGAATTAACACAGAATAGGACTGTGTTTCTTGAATTTATTGCTCTGAAGGACTCAGTGGCAGATCCAGAGGGAAGGTCTGGGGGTTGCATACACACCCCCACCCTCTGCTCCAAGTTTCTGTCATACCTGTGGGTTCGTTTTACTACATGTCTGACACCAGAATTCTTGAAGCGACAAGAACGCATTGTAGCACTCAAATGGCAGGGCAAGCGGAAGGGTTGGGGGCGGGCGTTGCGGTGGATCTACCCCCTGGCATCGTATTGCCTCTTTGGCATCCGTGTCAATCTTTTCCATTGTTGAACTGCTTCGCTCTGTTTTGTATTAATCTTGACCCTGAAGCGTCTGTCAACCCTGACAAACAATTATTTGACAGTTCCCTTCCGTTTATCCACAACTGTTAACGACGTAAAATAATTAAATACAATCGGGTGGCGCCTTGAAAAGTTGTCTTACAAACGTACCTTTAAACGGTCCTCCTTTGAAGGTGTGTGTCACATCTCCTTTCTGATTGAGATATCCAAACCACTCACCGTATTGTGAATCTGAAAACTGAGAAAAAACGGGTTATTGGGCAGATTGCTAGGATATTATAGGGAGAAGTTTCATGTTAATCACTTCCAGGTGTTAAAGGGTTAATTGGTAAGCCCAGTATTTACATGCGAGAATGTGTACTGGAATACGAGATCGAACTTCTCCATAAAGCGTTCCTCTCTAGTCTCCTTGTAAGCCATGAGGAGTGCAATGAGTGCCTCCGCATGAGGCCACCAAAGTTTCATGTTCCACTCCAGCTGTGTTGGCGAGAAGCCACTTGCATCCAAGTAATAAAGAATCCCGCCGTACATGTCATCCCATCCTGTGTCAAATGACTGAACTATAAACTTGTCGATGGCAATTCTTGCCAGTTCGTCGTTTTGTGTACGTGTAGCATACTGCAGGAGAAACCATCCAGCCTCAATGGCGTGTCCTGGATTGATGAGTCGACCTTCTGCACCAGATATCTCTTTTCCTTCTTCTGTGACTTTTTCTAATACCACTCTACCCTTTCTCTAGGATAGAAGGAGTTAATCGAAATTATTCCACGTTGGTACAAGTTAGAGGAGTTCTGTAAGTGATTTACAACATTGTTTCTCGTAACCCCATAGGAAGAAAGATGTATGATTTGAAGAATTTTGTTTACATCTCGGTACTCGTACTTGCTTCAATCAAATTCAAAGCATTTAGCTTGCTCTGAAATTGTGGCGAAAGAATGCTGTCCTAGGTCAATTTGGTTTTTATTAACTGAGTTGATAATACAAATTGGCCACAGAAGAGAATTTCTAAAGCTGAAGCTTTGAGGGTTGGCTCTTCGTCCGAACGAATGTTGTTATCAGTAACGTGCCATTTTGAGATAGTTATCGCACTTTGTTGGTGGGACTTCTTTGGAATCACTCCGCGTGTGTTTCACTTGGATTCACTTTGATTTTGTTTTCAAGACACTTAATCAAAAGCACTGTAAATGTCAATTTGTACAGTTTACCTGTAAGTGCTTTAAAATCTGCTGCACGGCCCACTCTTCATCTTCAGTGTACGCCTGACGGAGCTCGTCGTCTTCGCGGCAAACCTCGTCGATCACATACAACAACATCATTGGTACAGCCAGGGGATTTGCTGCCTCCTGGCCCGACAACTTGGGTCGGCCAAGCTGCGTGTCATCAATTCGTGCCCAATGTGTTACTAGGGACAGCATCCGTACAGCTTCCTCCTGAAATGAAATTGATGCATGATTTTCCGTGCACGTCTTCATTGCTCAGCACAATCGCTCGAGCCAAGTGGTGCATTTCTCGGTTTACATAACGTCTTGGGTTCTCAGTCCACTGAAAGCTACCCCACCCCACCCCGCCCCGCCCCAAGCATTTCGATACTTTTTATTCACAATTAACAGGTACTCTTGTCCACTCCTTAGTTTACATAGCGCCTAGATTGCCTCGCTCAAGACCATGTCTCTGTTACATCGTTTTCAGTATTTCTTTAGCAAAGCCCCGATGGTAACTTAAAATGGTGCAATAGGAATGAAACAGTTTTCTGCGGCACATTGTCAGATTCAATCAAATGGTTCTTCAATTTCGTCCACTCTTGTTGTTTGTCCTCCCAAAGCAGTTTGACAAAGAAACGCAGTTTATTGTGTACTTAACCTCGTTCCTACCTTATACTTAATAAGGTTACTTGCTCGATACAGTTCAGCCATTGCTATCGCATAGAAACACTCAGTGAAGATTGTCCTCTGAATCTTAATTGGCTTCCCTTCAGCTGTGACTTGAAAGTAACATCTCCCATCTTCAGGATTTTTAATATGATTTAACAAAAACTCGCCACCTGAAATTGCGGGAAATAAAAAATTTCTTCATACTAGCGTTTTATTGGAATTTGCGAGCATGCCATGTTTTTCCAGTATCGTAAATTATTCTGTAAGTTACCTCTTAACTTTGACACAGGTAGCCCACGAGCCACTTAGCCACACCCCTTTTTTAAGTTTCCCACCACGTATTATATAGTTATGAAAATTGCTCAACATGGGCAACACTCCAAACTGGAAGGCATTGAAATTGAGCAATTCGCAAGAAGAATTTTAATCGCATTTTACCGCTTTGAATAACCACTTTTTCACGCAAATTTGAAAGAGAAAGTAGTCGGTAAAATCAAATCTGACTATCGCTTCTTTGTCCTTTCTTGTCGTTACCTGATAGTGCAGCTTTAAGGATCTTCACCTTGCCGTATTTCCAAGACTCGTTGTAAAGTTTAGAGTACATCCATACCTACAGTGAAAAATACTTTATAAATATGATATTTAAGAGAAAGTCAGGGACAAATGCATTACATCTCTAAATTCATTTCAGGTAATTAAAGCTGAGTCATGGCTCATAATCTCAATGTAAGCAATTTCTGCCCCACTCGCTCAATACCTTTGGAACTTAAGAATTATTTAGTGTTTTTTCAATAGGTTTTAAAAGTATCACAGGGGCAGTTGTATGGAAAACTGCGCCCTTTTCAGTTTTAAAGTACCTCAGAGATCTTAGTCCCCCAAATTGACAACTACGTTGAGTTTTAACTTAAGAATCTGTGTAGAGTTTTGTACCAATCAAGTTCTGAGTCAACTGAGTCGTATTAGATTCTTGTTAACATAGCACCTTACTGAATTGTAGTACACTTTCAAAACTTGCGGAAAAAGACAAATATCGCTGCCTGGCGTGAGTCCTTTAGCAATCACAATAATGGGCTCCTGGTTTTGTTAATCAGCAATTACTTCGCTCCTTGCCTTCTAGCCAATCAAATCACGGTAGTGCCTCTATCAGTTTTGGAGTGTTCTCCCGCGCTTAGCACGGGTTTGCTTTGTTTCCTTCGACCTCTGATTGGTTAATCTCATTAGCATGGATTTTATTTTTTTGTGATTGGCTAGATGTCGACGTTGCTATGAGCATTTGATGATTAAAAAAAAACTAACATACGAATATATTTTCAATCGTACAGCGAGACTAACCTGTCTGCCTTCAAGCCAGCCGTACTTAGAGTCATCGTAAACTTTGCCATCTCTAGCGAGACATACATAATAACCGCTACAATCGAAAAACAGCCAAAAGGTTAGAGTTTATTTGAAATGCTTTTTATTTAAAGATAAACAGGATTTACTCCAGCATTAATAGCCAAACAAGTCGAATGCGTTGTTTGCCATATCCTTGATATATTTTAGGGAGGTATTAGCAGAGTTGAGACGACGTAAACGGAAAAACACACACACGTCTTTGCATACAATTTCTTAGAGGAGAGTAGTATCAAAGCAATAAAATAAACATATCTACCTAGATAAGAGAAAGAAAATCTATGGCTCTCGTAACTGTCCTGCAAATTTTGGTTTGCGCTGATAGAGCTCACAGAGACAAAAAGAAAAATAATAAAACAATCATTACAAAAGTTCGCACTTTAAGGAGGATATTGTGTATTTTGAGAGAATCCATAACTTAACGAAGTGCAGGACTCTTCTACACAAGTGGAAAATAAATGGAAAAATTGACGTGACCGAAGGAGCGTGAAACGTACTCCTTTACCATAGTAACGACATTCTTTGTTTCTACGGTAACTTCGAGATGTAAGCCTCAATGATCATAAGTGTTTAGGCTTAGGTTAAGTCAACTGTAGCCTCATTAGTACATAATTGTGATTCTTTTGAGGTTTAAATTAAATGTAAGTTCAATATCCGCGCACAATATTTTGGCTCTGTATATGCTGTTGTCAATATTGGACTTAAACGTCGAAATGCTCGATGTAAACTCATGAATGGAATTTTAAGCAAGGACAATACTTAATCAATACCGTTTACTCTACTTAACAATGAAAAGTTAAATTTGGTGCGTTTATTACATTTAATTCCTAATCGGTTCCCAAGTTAGATCGAAATTACTCAGTTAGTCGGTGGATAAACTCAAGTGTTACATCATGAGATTTTCAAATTGCAATTGGAAAGGTTATGTTAGAAGGGTCTATGGTAAGGCTTGTCCATCTTAAAAAATTTAGGCTAAACTGAACGATGTCACCCTTCACAAACCTTTTCAATCTTCTCCATCCTTAGTCACCCTTGTTTCTTTTTGGTTTTTATTGCTTTATTTGAGTATTTCTGTGCTACATAATTAATATTTTATAGTCTCCTTCAAATTCAATTAAGTTTAACACGTCACGAGAAAACCTCAAATATGATGACGTTATTCCTCTGAGTATCTCTTCACAATCGTGGTTAACCAGCTCCGAGTGTGAAAGCTGATCCTAAACTGAGAGACGAATCACTTATGTACTCGAGGAAACGTAATTATCTATGACATGAAACAATTTGTTATCATGCAACCCTAATCATAGAAGGCGGTCTTTGAGGCCTTTCGTCTCAGTTGGTAAATCATCCATGACCCTTAAAATAAACTCAAATAATAATTATGTTTGACTTCCCCACCCGTTTCGTTTATCACCAGACTTTTCAAGCCAGAAGTTGATAGTCTTGTCAAGCTCATCCTCCATTCTGGCCAAATACTGCTCCAGTTGGTCTCGTAACAAACCCATGTTTGAAGGACTTGTATAATGGCCGAGCTCTGCAGAAACCAGATTATTAAAATAGGTCACATGGGTTAGATTCTTTTAAAAAGCAATCAACAGGTCACTTTTAAACAGTCTCTATGGTCGTGGGAAATTTGCAAGGGACTCTTTGTCGATAGTATCACTTAAAACTGTCCCCTTATAAGTTACCAGAATACTGGTCTCAAACCAGAAATTAACCCTCTTAAACTATTAAACTTAAACTCCCTCCTTCCGTAATAGGAACGATAAAATCGTAATTCTTATCCGGCCCAGCGGTGAATTATTTTTGCATAACGTGAGCTTTATTGAAAGAATTTATAGAAGTCCGACCGACCCTTTTTCTGTCTAACAGAAAATTTGATATGATTCCAACTTTTTCCCGAGCAAATTGTGTGAAATAAAGAAAGGGTTCTTCTTAACTGATGGACAAGTTTAACGACTTACATAATTTAGATAATCAGGCTGACAAGCACAATCGATTGTATTCACACATTTTTAATATACCAAAAGAGAGATATAGCAATATCTAGTTAAGTGATTGAAGAGTTGAACCAGTACTTATAGAATGACGTAGAAAAGACATGAAAGAACACCGTTGTTTACAATGGAAATTTTAGCAAGAAACACAATCTTAAGTGGCAAGTACGGAAGTTTTCCTTACCATTTCCTCACGCAATGTCGACGGAATGTAAACTGTGCTGTTTACACGCTGGGTTATTGAAACTTGTCATGTGCAAAGCTTTAGCGATATTTTTATAAGAGAGGTTTACTTAACCTCAAAACATAGTAAAAGGGTAAATTGCAAGATCACAGCCATACCATGGAACACATTCCCATTTCAGAGAAAGAAAATCTTATTTGAAGGAGAGGTGTGCGAGTAAACTCTGTGCCACTTCAGCGAGTTCCTGCTGGCACAGTGGAAAAAGGACACCGCATTACGCTCATAAAACGGAGAAAAGAAAAGAATTGTTTTGCTCAAATATCGATGCTTTTTTCCTTTTTTTCATTTAACTGAAGAACTACAACTACAACTCCGCGCACAATATTTAACGTGAATTGCACCGTTTTCACTGGATAAGCCAGTCGACCAGCGGTTGGAGCGAACTCACACCACATAGGAACGACACAATTGTGTTGGAAGTAATAACAGTTGCATTTGTGAAACTTTTCGAAACGCATAAGCTCCAGTTTAAACTTTCCCGTCCTACGGTCCCCCCAGGAAATCACTGAGCTATGAGATTGTTGGTGAAAGTTTGTACTTACCGCCTAATTAGTCCTTTGGAAACCCAAAAACTTAGCCGACCAACACAGACACAGACACTTCAAGTAAAATAGTGTGGATGTGCAGGCGCTCCGGCAAGCCCCCAGTTGAAAATTGAGGTGGCAACGCTGGTAAATACAGGAAAAGGCTTGTGATATTGCGCTGTTGCATCAAAACGCGTTCAATACAAGTTTCTAATTTCATAACACGCTTGGTAAATTTAGCGTCTCCCACACATGCCCCGGAGCTGTTTTTAGTTCGCTGAGGGAAAACAAAGGGTGCATTCGTCAAGCAATATGGGCCAGGTGTGACAATAGCTGGCGAACCTTACGCCGAGTCGATCAGTCAGAATAAGCACATTTATACTCAAGTCGACTCAAGGAAGTATGTAGTTCATCGAGATCTATACACTTATATACAAATTTTAAATTTATCCGGCACCAAACCTAATAAGCTCACTGCGTTCCAACCTGTACAAAATTCATTTTATTTGTATATATTTTTTTTTCTTCTGGAAAAATTCGTCCTGACCCTTAGCGTCACATGCTGATGCGCCTCAGAACTCGTGACCAACACCTTCGGGGAGTCTAGTGTAAAATTTTACTAAGTGTTCTTGCTCATAAACATCATGTCTCTTTTAAGGAAAACATTCATCTGAGAGTTTTGAGATAAAATGATGTCAGAGACTCTTTTAGTAAGACACTGATGGATCAAGGATTCACTTCGTTGCTAAATTTAAAGTTTATCAGACTTCTAAACAGCTATCATTTGTTTTGGTTTATTACAAAATTGTCTCAGTAACTTCCCTTAGGGAGGCTCAAAGCGCTTTAAGCGATCACTCAACAGTAATTATTTGATGGACTGATTCTACACCTTTTTTCGTTCCTTTCCTTGAAAATTGTATCGAAAAGATGCCAAAGTATTGCTCATTAAGAGTTTGTACTAACGGAGCGAGGTGGCTCAGATCCTGTGATGCAGATATGTATATATTTTTTGAAACGTTTACAGTTCAACGTAACAGTGTAAAAGGAGGTTTAGAAACCTAGGTCGTTTAGGTCAAGCTATTACAGTAAGCTAAAATTAAGGGTGCTTCTACAAGTCTCTCGTGTTTCTATGGAAACCTTCCCGTTTCATTTCCTCGATCTCAGACTTCAGGCAAAACAATAAATAAGAACATAGTTTTCCATCTACCTATGTTTTGGGAATCATTAATTGTACGTCATACAGAAAGCTAAAACTAAGGGTGCTTCTACAAGTCTTTCGTGTTTCTATGGAAACTTTCCCATTTCATTTCCTCGATCTCAGACCTCAGGCAAAACAATATATAAGAACATAGTTTGCCTTCTACTTGAGTTTTTGGGATCATTAATTGTTCGTTAAAACTGACCTTGCGTAGATTTTCTTGGCCGCAAGTTGTAGTACTTCTTGGGCAATCTTGGCGTGTAACGGAGTGTTGTGTGACTGCCAACCTTTTTATTAACCTGGCTTCGAGTTACACGTTTACTTTTCACAGGACTCCCTCTACTGACTCTCCCAGAACCGAACCTTCTCCACTTTGTGCCTTGCTCTCGTCCTATCAGTCAACATTCGACGCAATAAAATATCAGTCTGGAAATTATCTGATGCGATATTGAAAGCATCATATACCTCGGGAAAGAAAAACAAGTGATTCCAAAGTGCCACGTAATTTATTACGGATGCAAGGCGACAGGAGAAAGTCATCGCAACCGATGAAAAAATAGCCCAAATTGGTCCTTATTTTCTGTTTATTTCATTCCAGTTTTCTAACTTCTTTTCCATTACGCAGCGAAAATCGCCAAATTAAATTAAAAATCGGGTCAAACCAAATTTCCTACCGAGTGCTACAGATATTCTGACGATTTGCAACTTAGCGATGAAAACAAACTGAGCGAGCCAAATTAAGTACTTAACTACTGGATATGAATTTCCTCTTTTGCGAATATTACCTGGTACTATAGTGGGTGCCATTTACAGTACTGGAAGTAGATGCAGGACTGCAATGATGAAGTCAGTTTATTTCTTCGTTTCAGCGTGATTCCCGCGCGACATCGCTCTCAGGTTGCGTGAGTGGAATATAGGATTGCGTGACTACAACTATAGTTATCGACCTCTCCACCAGTGGAATGCACTTAACGTCATACCTTGATCTTTAGTTCAATCTCTCTTCGAGGTGACAACATATCGAGTACCGCCCGGAACTTTCGGTGGGTGGGAGAGAAATGGGTGAGTAAGCGGGAGGGGGAGAAATAGATGACTAGATAGGCTTGTCGTCTTACGCAGGGGAAGAAGAGGAACAAAATACTTTTAAGCTTCATATGACGTTTTATTGTTTCTTCACCCATGAATATTTTAAAAATATAGAGACAATCTTTTTTTTCCCGTTGGATTCTGTTTATATCTACAGTTAACTGTATAAGGCTTGTTCATAAATTAACCCTTTTACTATTTCAAGGAAGTTACAGTTGGCCATTTCACATAAAATTCAGATTGAAAAGTTTACAAAATCCCTATTTACAGCTAGAAAGGGAAACAGAAGCCTTCTTTTAACATTATCATACAAGACCAAGAACAGAACGATCAATAAAATTCCTTGATTGATAATGACACTATTTCAGGTCAAGAACACAGATTGATCAATTGCTCTTTGATTTTTATAAACACTATTCACACAGAGCTACTCAAATATCCTTAGTTAAATCGTAAAAACCAGAACTAAACTTCAGCAAAACCGACGTTTAACGGTTGGAAAACTATACATCAATTTACAGTTGTGATAAATAAATTTGCCCCTTTACAGTGCGGCCAGAATCCAGGGACTTTTTTCCATTTTATACATTTTTTTACATTTTCAATATTTTATATATTTTTCTTTGTTATTTTATGCACCTTTACAACCCATAAAATACACACGAAGGACACTCAAAAGTCCAGAGCAGTTAGAAAGTTAGAAACACATCCAGTGCATGTCGATGCCCTAAAAATTATCAAAACTTTGGCTTTTTCTATTTCTCACAAGCGATGCACCAGGCAGTAGGAAATTTAAAAGTAAGGATTGTGATTACATTCATGAAATAAATACCCGAAGTGTGGGAAAGAAGTCTATTACAAATCGGTTCTCTAAGTGATGACAAAAGGTCTCTCTAACTTGAATTGTCGCTTCAGCAAGTGAAAGCCGAAGAGAGATATCACACTCGAGAAAACCTAACCAAATTATCTCATGGAATAAGATTACTTTTCATATATTTTTTGTTTAAGTTATTTTCAGTAGTTATTGATGCTAGTATATATTAATCTCTGCTAACACTTAACAGCTACCTTTATATAAGACAAATCAATCTGTCCAATCTTCCTTAAGACCAATTATTATAATCGGGAGGGAACAGCGGGCTAGTTTCAGCGGGGGAGCAAGAAGCAAACGCGTTTACACCTCCCCCCCGAAAATCTGATTGAAATTGGAATTGATTTTCTCCGTTAATTGAAGTTGTTCTTTTCTTGTCGTTTTTAACGGGTAAGAGCGCGTTGTCGTTCATGGCGTCTGCCAATGTTTCCACAAGTTGCTCTTCTTTGTCCTCGAACATATCGTTGTTCAAGCCCGGCCAAGGGTCGTTCAGACTTCCTGGGCCATTGTCAACAATAAGTGGCATGCTCCCCCCTAAATTCGGCGACGCACATCCAGTGAACGCGAACTGACCTGATGGAGTGGGCACTGGATCCGAACGAACAGGCTGCATTCTCAAACTCTGCAAATCCAGTTCTTCAGAGAAGAAGCCCATGGAGTGGCCGTCCCTGTTATGAGCTGCTATAGTGGCCCCACTACCTGAGCACCCAGACCTGAAGTCTCCTAAGCTATGGGTGGATGAAGCTGATGAAGAGCCTGGCGGTTGGTAAGTCTTGAAAGAGAACTGTGGTCCCATCCATAGTCGCCGATGAGGGGCAGAGTGAGTCTCCATGTCTATATTTGCCAGCCACTGATCGTCCGAGATGCGAGATTCACTCTCCTTGCCGATTTTCTTTTCTGAAGAAAGACAACGGACTATCTTGTACTATGCAATGTTTTCGATAATAGCTAAATGCATACACGAATTTCTTCAAAGAGAAATATACGCCCAAAGTTTTTAATGCAAGCACTGAGATAGCTATGAATATCTTAACACTGTTTGTTCTTATGTAGAACACTGGAACCCGAACACAAGATACATAAGATCATGTAATAGTGTAGTTTGATACATAAGATCAATCGTGTCAACAATGTTACCTTGTTTGACGGTGTGGTTACTAAGCTCACTGGGAGAAACTTTTAGGCGCCCCAGCAACAGACCAACATCTCTGATCACTGGACTTTTGCTTTCAGGCCAAGTAACACACCTGCAATTGACAAAAACAAAACAATTAGGACAAACATCATAGTTGTTCTTAGGGATCGAAGATTAAGCTTGAGCACCAGTGTCTGTAGCAGAACTACTGGCAAAGTGAGTAGGACTTTCCAATTACAACAACAGTGAGTCGATCGGAGAACAGCGCGATATAAAAAACTTGAAATCAGGTGCAACCAATTCAATTTCAGTTTTAATCACGTTCGCTTTTATAACGCGCAACAAGAAAGGAGCAGTATTTTAAGTCTGATGTGTCCGCGAAGCGAAGCAAATATTAGAAACGATATGAAAGTCATTCATGCTCTTTGAAATAATTTTTTTCTGAACGAAAAGTAAGAGTACGTAAAAAAAAAGGACGCGAAGTGAGGCCACATTGCCTCACGCTCCATCTATGAGCCTCTCATACGCGACATGCATTACGACAGCCCTTCCTGCTCAACTAATGAAGGATTTGATCCGCCATACCTGGCAAGCGTCCACTGCGCTCTTGCAGTAGTGCTGAGATCCAGGGGGGTGTCATCACTCTGTGGAACAGTTTTCACTGCCTGTGGTTCCAGAACGTACTCTGTCAAGTTCCCATGGAGGTCAAGTATAAAAAGCGAGTCAACAGCTGAAGATCTGCAAGGTTCTACATAAAAAAGGGAGAACGAAATCAAAACAAAACGGAAAAAAAAAGGTTCAGCCTACAAACGAAGGTTCACTGACTAGGTTTACATTTGGCTGCAGTTGGTGCTACAGGTTGATTATGTTTATCTTTTGACGACAAACTTTTGATCGTTAAAGATTCTGTAATTCACTCCAGTTATTTAGCAGCTTACTGACTACTCCCGTCAAATATTACCAGTGATTACCATGTAACTTCTCCTTGAAATATCTAAATAATCCCATTAACAGGTAATGAGAATAGACGAACGTATCAGTCTAAAGAGTATAATATAGTGTTTGTACCCCAACTGTTTACATGTCAGGGCACGCCCGAGATAAACGAACCCTTTGAAAGTTGGCTATGTACTTTACCTGCTCTGGTACTGTTCGAACTTCCACCTAACCATCCCCTAGAAGGAGCAAACGTCATTGCCGCACCCACTGAATATTCCAAGCCCACACGGCCATTACACTTGTTAGAGCTCTGAGTGCAGCAAGATCCACCGCATCGTGGGCCATCAGGGGTCCTTATTTGCGCTAAGGGATGCACAAGGTAGGAATGAGGGAGAGGAGGGAGGCGGGGATTTACCAAACCATTGTTGCTGGTTGAAGTGGATGTTAAGGATTCTCTTGCCAGTGGGGTCCCTGTGGAGCTGAGTGGGCTTCCGTTGGGTGAACAAGAAAGGTTGGGCACTGTGCCGTTGCATGGACTGTGTCTACCTGAGCCTGTGGTCGCCTGGTCAAGGTCATCCAATCCAGCGCTGGTGTGGAACCGACTGCTGCGGTTTACAACACGACGCGAAGAATGGGTGCGGACTGTTATGGGACCTACGAGAATATATGAAAGAAGAGTTGTGTTGAGAAATTATAACATGCAATTTGAATCACTTCAAGATAGTTTACAGTTAAGAACTAGAGGAACCTAGAGGTTCTTGGAAACAATTGTTCTATTTAGTAAAGCTTACCTCCGTACGAAGTAATTGGAAAAACATGCACAGTTCCACGGACAGTTGATACAGCAACCCATCGACTGTCGAAGGAAAATGCCATTCCGTGCACCTGGGAATGAGATGAGAACAAAACTCAGGTTGACTCTAATTTTGGCAACTTTAACGATTCCTGAAAGACCTCAATATCTCGAACACTCTTTACACTATCAAACCAGCCTTCCAAGTATATTCTCTTTATAGTTAATTTAGTTTCCACTAACTTTCGCCTAAATTGACAGTTTGAAAATACTACGCACCATACTTCAATGATAATTTGTTTACCACACCACGAGGTTCTTTCAAACATCCGTCAACCGTCAAAATTGGAAAAACATTAGCCGTAAAAGCCCCCCCCCCCTTTTCAATCCATGACTGCGACAAAATGAAATTTCCCGGATGTCGTTATCACATGCTTCGAGAAATACTTTTTAAAAACTTAACGAAGCGGGGAAAAAAAACAACAACAGTGCGGCAGGAAGGTAAAAAGTCACCAGAAAGACTGCTACTTGTATTCTACACAGTGTACTGCCTGGACTTACTGTTGCAGTGGTGTCGCCTCTGTGCAGAGTGTACAAATGATGAACAGCGCTTAATGAAGGACAAATGGGATGTGGTAGAATATGATACACGTGGAAATTGTTTCCCAGAACGTCTGCAGTCAACAACAGTGAACCGCTAAAGAGTAGGAAACAAAATGAAGGGTAAGTTAAACCTAAGGAATATTTCACAAAAGCAAAGAAAAACAAAATCACTGGAGAAATAAGAGAGATATTGAACAAGGTTATCTTCAGAGTTTTTTTATTTTGGAAAAGAATTGTACACAAATAAATCACGAACATATATGCACACGATGTTCAAGAAAAATACAAACTAAACACATTGTTCCATACTCCTGTTTTTCTAATCACTGTCACAATATTGAAATTTAAAGTTAATGTCAACCATAGGTGTATGTATTTCAATCACAGTTATGTACTTGACATTTGTTTACATAGACATGTGTTACCTTAGTCAGTGCCACAAATTGAAAAGTTTCAATTTCGATTTTACACATAGAACACAGATAACCTGTTTTAACCACTGTAAAATATTGGTTATTGACATAGGATATACCTATAAAACATGAAAATACAAAATTTTGGAAATATTACACACAAATCACACCTGGGGTCAAAGGACATGCAAGATAGGGGCTGTCCTGCATGGGCAAGAAAATGGGCCACTATGCCGGTGCCTTCATGGTCATCCTCTTGTACACAGAACTGCCATCAAAAATGCACAAATAAATAAAGAAACACATAAATCATATCTTTCAGTTAGGAATAATTTATGAGAAAGCTGCCTTACATCTCTGTACCATCTTTCTTGACAATCAGTTCATACAATCTTCTGAGACAATATAGCCTTGTTTAGCCTTGCTCTAAGTAATTATATTCTAACTAATGTTTTAAGAAATATGTCTTAAGTGAAACCAGAAACTAAATCTCACTGCAAAAGAAAAATGAATGGTACAAATTGGCTAGCTGATCTTGAAAGACAATTAGTGTTGACAACTGTACCTCTCCATTTCCAATTTTTTGTGTGTCTATAATGGTTACAACTCCTGGTGTAATTGTGGAGTTCTAGGAACAAAGCAAAACAAAATAGTGAAAACCAAAATAGTTTTCAGCCCTCCCTAAAGAGTTTCATATACCCTATAGGGGTATGATCATTCCATTCAACCTTAAAAGAAAGTAAGGGTTTATTATTTGAAAATTATGTCCATCATCCATTTGATTCACTTCATAGTATTTCCTATAGGAAAGTGCGTGTTTAATTGACATCTAAAACCTAGTGCATTAATTTTAAATTGTGACAAAAAAAAAATGTACTTCTATTGGTTTAAGATTAACACAACATCAATTACTTTTATTCCAATCCTATATCAAGTGTTTAAATACTCCCTCAATCTATTAATCTATTATTAATACTATTATTATTATTATTATTATTAATCTATTCCTGAAGCTGATCCTTACAACTTAATGTTTTACTCTATGTGCCCAATCTCCCAGAGGATAAAAATTCAAAATAATTTGTTGCAACTCACTTGGTTTAAATAGTCATTTGAAATTTCTGTCCCTGTCCATCGTCCTATAATATAATGGCAAAACAACTAATATCAGCAATAATTTCACTACTTTCTTCACAAAAAAAAATGGCTGTGTAAAAATATTTAAAGCTCAAAACTAAATAGTTGCATACCTAAAATTGTCAGACCTCTAGTGATTGACTGAAAATGGAAATAACAATGAGTCAATAAAGATCTATTATCAGGTTTATTGAATGTAAAATGTAAGGAAAACTTTGATATTACTGGTACTCTGATTTTCTGAGTTTCCACTAGACCCACCAGAAAACAACCACTCTATTTAAGTTTTACTGATAAATTCAATTTAGGATCTGACAACTGCAAGTTTGTCAGTTACTTTGTCAATAGAGTGAATTCTACCATTTTCAATTGAAGGAAATTTCAATGAACATTTCATATGTTTATTAATGGGTGTTCAGAAACATGTTGAGATCTCAAAATCATCATATGATTCACATTCTTGAAAGAACTTGTCAGATGTGCAATCTCTGTAATAACAGGAGTTTTACAGACCATGAACTTTTTGTAAACATTCTATCCTATCATACAAACCTTGGCAGCACTAATGACTGTGGCTGTATATGACTGGGAATTATCCCCACACACTCCCCCACAGGACTGATGATTAGGTACCAACTGACAATACAAACACAACACTCAGTGTTATTCCTTAGTCCAAAAAAATGTTGTGAAAATATTTAATTGAAGACCCAACACTTTAAGGTACCTTGCGATCTGCATATGCCAGCCATCTGGTACTCAGAGCCAATGGGTTGAGGTTAGGGCTTGGGGCTGGGTAGCAACCTAAAATTGAGGTTAGATGTGCTTTTTAAACATATTTTCATATCACAAATACTGGGTTCAGGGTGAACACAGTGAACTTAAAATCTAAGCATACATGTGATTTGTCATATACTTTATTGAAAAATTCCCAGGTTCGCAAAATCATCAAATTTGTACTTCTCCTTACTGTCAACCATACCACTCTTATTATGTTAGTTCAGAGAATTTCATACTGGATCAACTAATTATCCCCAAATTGATATTTTTCTTTATTCTCATCACTTATCTGGTTGATATTGTGTTGATATTGTAAGGAGAAATTCTGTCTTGGTCACTCATGGGAGTTAAAGGGTTAAAGTATCACTTAAAAACTACATAGTACATATTAGATCAAGTCAAACACCCTGAATGAAAGATTTTGGTGGTGAGAGAATACATCTATTAGAAAAATGAATCTCTGGCTATAACGTACTGGGTTGTTGTTACACAGACCAGCACATTGTGAAAACCAGCTTACCTTTAATTAGATATTCAAAAGAAAATACTTACTTGTTATGCAGAAACAGTTTTTGAAGGTACATGCATCAAAGGCTGCAATCTTTTCCTGAAGAGCAACAACCATTAACCTAAGAAGAAAAAAAGTTTCATACAATTCTTAATTCTATGATGATTCATGAAAGGTCTCACCACCACGACATGTCTTTGTCTAAAGTGCATGTACTTCTTTAAGAGAGTAAGATAAATTATCTATCAGGTACCTTCTATTGCAAAGTACATCATACACCTCAGACTTGAAGCCAATTGAGTGGACCTGCTCACCACTGCTGAGGGACCACAAATTAACGGTGGAGAATGGCAGGGAGGGGCTGCAGAGACAGAGTTACATTTCATTCAATTACACAGACTTGCAAAGCATATTTCACAATCTGGAAGACCCTTAACATATGACTGACAATTCTAGATCTTGGTTTCTATAACATTTGAAAAGTTTAAAGAAATAGTTTCAGTTACATGTCTTAGTAACCTTTCACTTATTCAGTCTCAATGGTGAAAGGCAAATTATCAAGAAATATTACATTCATCTTTCATTAACTTACATGGCAAATATCAACCTTACTAACCTTGCAGCATCACATACAGCAAAAAGAGGTCTGACATCTGCAAACTCGTCCTTTGCCTTTGTTGCTGGAAGTGAAATGTTACCAAAACAATATCAGTGTTGAAAACATGTGACACTGTTGGGGTAGAATTTGAGGGGGAGAGTATTTGCCACTTGCTGGTTGACTACCATAAAAGTTCATGCTCAATTGATAAATGCATGTGAACAATACAATGTACAGCTGAGGGTGAATGTCCAACAAAATCAATGAGTATCTGACATGTAGTAAGAACTGATTTCAAAACTCCTCTTTTTCAGAACTTGGGAGAATTTTAGTTCCTCAGAATGTTTCCATTGGGATGAGAGGTATTTTAAAAATATTTTTCAGTTCAGAATGACTTCCAAATCAACAATCTGATAAGGTAGGCTGAGAAAGGAATATTTTATTTCTAAGATGTACATAGATCTCTATACTATGTAGTTGCCTTCCAAGAGAGTGAGCCAAGCCAACTAGCAGCACTGGAAAGCTTGTAACATAATTAATACCTTCTAGTGGTGTCTTGAGCATGCGCACAAGTCTTACAGGCCCTTGACGAAGAGATAACACCTCCTGTGCTTCACCAGTTGACTACAAAATATACAACATGAAGTAAGCCATTGCAGTGTACAATTATCACAAATCATGTTAAAAACAAAAAACTGAGAAATGACATCTAAGCCACAGAATTAGTTTCCTTGATTAGGAAAAATTGCTTCTACAGATGTGTCACTGGACCTATCAATCCTCACAGACTATACTTACTGGGATGGTCCAGACATGAAAGCCATTAGTGTAACCAAGAATCAATAGTAATGGTACACCCACTCCTGATGAAATCTCTTCCTGGTTAAGCGTATTATCTGTGAGATACAAAACAGCCCCATGACAAATATTAGCAAAAAATTATTTGAAGCCAGAACTCTGAGTTCAAATAATTCAAAAGTTATAAATCAATTGGTTTAACAAAATGACTCATTGAGATAGCAAAGCCAGTCACTACAATAAGTCAACAAATTTAACTCATCACACACAAAAATATTGACTAGCTGGACTGGCAGCATGGGATGTAAGGAAAGCCTAAATATAAAACAAAGAGACACTAACCTGAGATAATGAAATACTGAAGCACAGTTTATTTGTAAAGCTGTTACCCTTTTAAATAAATTTCAACAAAACTCTTTTGTCTCTCACCATTGATGTCTGCTTCCTCAAACTTAACCCATAACACCCTCTCTTTCTCTTCCTGTTTAACTCCTGTGACAGCCTAAGGGTTAAAATGGTAAAAATATAATTACTGCATGGACAGTCTGTTTATCTAAGATCCTTTTTTTTGTCCTTTACCTTGACCCCTTCTTGTAAATCTATAAAAAGTTACTTTTGATGAAGCCTGTTGCATTGGTTCACAGATTTAAAAAACAAAGCTACTGCCAGCTTCATTCACCACCTGCTAGAGCTTTTCCTTATTAATTTCAGATTCACAAAAAAGTTATAACAAACGATGTTTGCACTGTGTCACAATAAACAGAGAGTAACACAGCTGTTTTAATAATGAAGTCTTTCAAAAATCAATGACAAGATGATCACAATCTTGTTCCTACAACAAAAAATACAACCTTTGAAAAGCTCTTCCCCAACCACCCCCTCTGACCTACAAATAATAACAGTGTAATTGTCTACTCAGCAACAATTTTTATGTAGTTCCTTATTGAAATTATATTTCATGCTAAAGTGCCTATAGAATGCATGACTTGTACTGCCAAATTAAAGAGATCAATTGACAAAATCCTTAATAGGCTAATTCCCATGAGTTCATATTGAATGTCACAAGTAAATCATATGACAATTGTTTATCCACAGGTGATTTTTTTTGTTGATTATTTCCAGTTTAAGTAAATATGAGTTTTAAAGGAATGACCTTTATAACTCTTGAAATTTCAAAGGTCACCGGTTTTTTCCTGTTGGAGGCACAACTGACAGATACTTAAACAAGGATAGAACACGCAACAAGCATAAAATATTTCTAGGATTTTTTTGCTGATCTTGCAGGTTTTCTTTGTCAATCATGATACAAAAGAAAGTACACGGATAAAAAGAGAAAGAAAATAAACTGCTCTATAAAAATGTACTGCCTTGAGTCCCATATAAAACTCCACACTCCTACTTCATACTCTGACCCACTAAAAATAAACATTTAAAAATCCTGGGAAATTGACCATGTACCTTCATACTGTATCACTAACAAGTAATAAAATGGAAAATATCATTTTTTATTCCTTTTCCATGTCCTGCTGCTTTAACAGACAATTGCAAATTATTTCCCAACAGAAATTTCAGTCCAATAAAAATGCAAAACATTTGCCCACCACAACTCATAACAACAACCACCCACAAAATATAACTTAGAAACATTTTCATAGTTTGTAATAACTAGGTAACATTATTAATGTAACATAATCAGAAAAATTAAACAGCTGTTTGAAGCATAGATTCCTCCATTTACCCTCTACTAACTCTGGTTTCTCATAATTATTCCTGAATAGACCATGGTGAAAAATCCATGTGACTTATCAAGATTAAAATCTTATAAGTATTTATTCCCACAGTGTATGATAATTCATACCACTTTGACCAATTATACTTTGACAACACAGTTGAAATGTTGACTTAAAAATCGGATAGGTTAAGAATTCAATGAGACCATTTAGAAAATGTTTACAGACACTGGTCAATCGTGTGACTGTGGAAAATTCTGTACATGTCTGTTACGTTGTATATTCATGAATGAAAATATAATTTTATTACAACAAGGAATATGGAGCTGAAGTCTGGTCACAAGGAACTTGTTACCAGTACTTATATCTCCTATGATTAAAACTATTTTCTATGACCACATCTTAGGCTTCAAATAATGGTTTCTTCGAAAAGAATCACAAAGAAAATTAATCACACCATGTTTCCAAAATATATTCTCATATTTTACTTAATTTTGAGAAGTGAATTCTGGTAGAGTTCAACATCCTATTTCAATGTATTGCATGTATTCGTTTTAATTGAACTTATACTTTGTCAATCACGATCAAATCAAGATGACTTCAAGGACGATATGTTTATCTTTTACAGGATTTATTGTAACCTTTGACAATTTTAAAGGAAACGAAAAAGAGAAGTAAACCACCACACCTATTGTAGGCCCATTAAGGATGGGAAGTCACGTACATTTCGGTTGAGTTTTCGGTTCGATCGATCCCGAGCGCTACTGAAGTGGTTTTCTTAGTTGTTTATAAAATTTCTCGAGAAAAAAGGATCGATAAACCTAAAATACCCCTCAAATGGATTTAAAACAGCACAATATGAAAAAAATAGAAGCAAATCGCCAACTAACATTAGATGACGTTATAGAAATACAAATTTTTTTATTTCGAACAAAGAGCTTCACTTGCCTGGGGTACGACGTCTTGTAGGAAGTTTACCACGCTTTCCACGTAGGACTTGTCGCTGAAAAAAAGTGAGATCAACATCATCTTAGCATTAAACGAGATTTATAACATCAAGCAAACCCAAAACATTCCGTCAAATGGTTAAAAACCTTATTGCTTGAGGTCGAACGACAATCCCACCACCGCGCGAAATTCGTCTTGCAACCGAGTCCACAGACATCATCTAGAGCTAAAGAAAGCTCTTTTCGATCTCCAGAACTGAAGATGAGGAAGCTAAGTAGCTTTCTGGCTCAATTTTGATTACGTTTCCATCGCCGTTTCTTCATATCGTCGCTTTGAACATCATTTTAGATGACCAAAACTCTGTTTTGGCGCCTCGTTACGTCAGAAAAAAACATTGTTTATCTGCCTCGTTATCAGTGTTTTGGGAAAGGCCTGGGAACAATTGTTGAGAAATGAGGATGAAATGTTCGAAACGCGAATGATTACCTGTTGTTTTCCAAATGATTATCAGTTTAAATTAAGACTCTTTTTGTCTCCTCTTACCAAAATGAGCAAAATGAAGACAAAGTGTCAAATTAAAATGATGCTATTTTTATCCGCGGGCGTTCCATACATATCCACAATCATTGTAACTGGCGGAATAGTAAAAAATTTAAGACTTGAGCTGCATCTGGAATGCGTTAAGTTGAAAACTGGCATAAAATATTACAAAAACTAAAGATAACCGATTTTTTTTTCCAGTTTCGATTTGTGTTTCGTGCAGATTCCGCACAATAGGGTGCCTCTGTGACGTCAAAGTTTTCAACCCATTTCCGTGCTTGTGTTCAAATCTCTGAATTAATTTTGAATTTTTTATCAGGGCTGTGAACCCAATTTTTGAAAGAAAATAAAAAATCGCCACGTCAGTAATTATATTTGCCGAGTAATTTGCAATCATGTAAATATCATGTGAGTCTATCCGCCAACACAATAAAGAGCCCAGTTAGACAAAGAACTCCTAATCCATTTTGAATTGAATTTGATGACACGGTCCAGATACCTTGAAAACTGACTTCGCTGATTGCGTACGTGAATGTTTTTTGTTTGTCTGTTTTTTTTCGCACTCGAGGGCTTTCCAAGTTGGGGAGCTCAGCCCCTTTTACCGCCAGGAGTGATTAGCACCTAATTTCTCCCCACGGTATCATTACTGAATCAAAAATTTAGATCGTGAGAATAAAGAAAGTGATCGACATCTACAGTCGCTCTAGTTTGTGAGAGAAATTTTCCTTGTCAGTGTCATAGGAAACGTGTAGAAAATAATGTGGAGAGTATGAACACTAATATTGGTTGGGGTGTAAAGGGATGATAGATGAAGGTATTTGATGAGGGGGCCTAATAGAAAGAGGAGAAAAATCGGGCCTTATTAAAGGTTGATTCTCAGTATCGTGTTTCATAAACCTCGCGTAAATTTTCTTCTTTTGGGGGGGGGAGGGGGAAGATAAACTTTTCTACTGGTCTGCCTTAACACAGTGATATAAATGCATTGCCTTTCTGCGGAAAATGTCGCTTTTCATGCTGAAGGCGGCTCTCAATTTTCCACAGATGCGGGTGATCATAGTTCATTTGGGTTCCAACTAATCTTCCTCACGCTTGGACATTGGACCCGTTCGGCAGTCATCGCACATAAACAAAGTGCGAATTTTTCCTTTTTTCTGCAAAAGATATCCTTTTTTTAAGCAATGTTCATGGGTTTTCGTGAACCTAGGGTTCTAGACCGTGGAACTGTTCTGTGACTCTGGACTGGAAAAATCTTCAACGGCCTTTTACAGTTTAAACAGGAAGATATGTTGAAATCATTGAATGTCTCCCCATACTTAACAATAAGTTAAGTGATAGGAATTCACTCTTTTTTACAATGAGGAAACATGGTATGAAAAGTCATTTTCAGCTCTCTGGACGCAGCAAACATTGCTAAAAAAGATATTTGATAATACAGAACAAAGACGATAAACATGCCAAGTGTCTTTTCCAATTGTCCAATTCACCATTTATGTTAAAATCTAATCAATCCAGAAAGTGTATCCTGTATCATATTTGGGCGTAAGACAGGTTGGTTGCTTCGCTCGCTTATGGGCTATTGCCGAGAATAAATATATATTAAAGCGATTAAAACGTGCGTGGTACTATTTCATGTCCACGGCTTCTTCCTTGATCGCATTCTTCGTTGCTTCATTTTCTTTTCTTGCTTTTTTTGTAAAGCACTCCTAGGAAGGATTAGGAAGTCCTTGAGGACTGAGACGGTAGAACATTACTACGACACTTTAACTTAAGAAATATATATATTTCTTCCCTTATACCACCTACCTATTACCATTATTTCATGCTAGGAAGAACATAGTTAGAATATTTTCAAATTCTATACATTTTCATTAACTATGATTACCTCGAAATACAAATTATCTACCTAAATTTTAGCTGAGGATTTAGTCAGGATGACTTTATATCAGAATAAATGATCTAATTTAATACTGATCCGGATACATTTTTACATATAATTGATGTTCAATATTTACATCCTACATGACCGAATCTGAGAATTTTCGACCAGCCATACACTATCAAAGTAAGAAAACAGATGCTTACGTCGAAATAATGAAGATTTTTGTGTCCTTATTCAGTGACATTGTCGCGTATACCAGGTCTAAACAGAATTTGCAATCACTGAAAATTGAAGGAGAAAGATACTTAACAATACATTCTCTCTAACGACATACCTTGTCTAACAACACTAATTCTCTTTACCTAAAGCCGCAGTTCTATTATCATTATTAGTATTATTTGAAAACTATATAAACGAACCCGACGTTTCTACCTCCTCGAATACATTGCATGGGATCGTCTCAATTCTTGCAATGATCCTCGAAAAAATGATGCTCGCATTATCATGTTTAGGAAAAATGATCACCGTTACCAAAAAAGCGGTATCATTCATAATCTCTATTTGCTGTTTCTCCTTAAACATAACCGAACCTCGATAAATTGACGGGTTCTCAGAATTGGTTACGGTCTCGTACAAATTATTGTGGATATTTTCGCATCAAACGGAGGCAAATATTGGTATCTTAAGGCTTGCTCATGAATAACTAATACTTTCCTACCTACTGGTTGTTTTCCTGAGGGAGATTCTGGTGTAAATCACTTTGTGGTCAAATATCTAATTTCCATGGCCTTAAAGTTTTACAGTTTCCTCTTTTCTAATAAGTTTAAACATCCCTGCACGTTTTTTACATTGAATACTTTGAAGTTCCAAAAATACAAACGCATTTATTGTGCTGAGGAAACCAAACAATTCAGGTATTTAGGTCGGAAGTAGACTAGGTGTTTTCAAATCCTTTGTTACTTGCTCAAAAAGTTAAGAAAATATACAGTGGAATATTTGGCCAGAATCCCCCAGAAATTCGAACAACCTTGTGTCGATTTAACTATGTTCACAAGTTACCAAAGATATGAATAGAAATCTAAATTACTGACAGTGTATACAGGAATAATAGATGCACGTGACTCCAGTGATATGAAAGTTTCTTTTGTAAGGAGGGAATGTCATCTTTCTGCACTCACAAAACCGGAGGTTTCTGTACGCTCCTTGTCATCTTTAATCCGTTTATACCGCCGTGCATCACGATCCATGCTACCAGCACTGTGGAGATCACGTGCTCTTGAATGCTGCTGTCAAAAGTAAGACGGTATTTAGCTAAGAATCACAAACAATATTGAAAAACTTCTATTGGTGATGAAGCTGTGAATAAGTAATTATCATTCACTCCTGAATTGAGTGCCACGTCCTTCCATTAGCTGTTTTGTTTCATCCCCAAAAGCCCTCCTCATCATCTACAGTTCTTGTTACTCTTAATTTCATTCTGCCACTTATATATGTAGTTAAAACAATGTTTACTAGTTTTGATGATTTATTATTGGCCATACAATATTTTATCTGAAGACTGAAAAGAAGCAAAGAGGTATCATAGAGCATCTTTAGATAATAAGGAAACACACATTTCAAAGTAATCCATATGTCAAACACATGGATTGACTGTGAGTTTATTAATTCATAAGAGAGATGAATTCTGTTCAGATTGTCAAAGCATCGTTTATTGTCTTATGCTGTCAAAAGCCTTTTTGCACCCACAAAAATCACATCACATGTTAAACAATTTATGACAATGGCTTAAACAAGATCTTTTTTGGCTAATTTAATGAATACAATTAAATGAGTATTTAAACAATTGAACGAAGGAGAAAATTATACTGGCCGTGACTCATCTACTTAACCATTTTAACCCTGAGAGTGACCAGCATCTAATTTCTCCTTAAAGTAATACAGCAGAATCATTCATTAAGACCATGAGAATAAAGGGAATGATTACCGACCAAAAAAGCTTTGACTGTTAAATGAATTCTCCTTGGCAGTACCAGAGGAAATGTATGGAAAAGAGTAACGAGAATGTGGATACTGATGTTAGGGTGTAAAAGCTTAATAAGAAGTTCCATCAAGAGTTAATGGTCAAAGTACCTTTCTAAGAACATACAGGTAATTGGGACTTGATCCAGGTTTAGAGTTCATCTGATTGCTCTATAAGTTGCTGTTCCCATGGGCACATAAAATAAATAGCGTAGAAAGGAAAGTTGTTGGAAAAAAATCCTTCTCTTGATTGAAATCAAACATTGTTGGTGTTGAATTTGGACTCATAGATATCAATCCAAAGAGCATGGAATACTTTCTACACAATGTTTAAAAAGGTTACCCTGACTTCTGTCAACTTTTTACAGGTCATAAATATTTGGATACCACAAAATACCCAAACTGCCACTTCAGAATAAGACAAGAAAAAAGTTTGTGGTAAAATCCATATACACTTTGATGCAGTTTGCAATTTTTCCTCCATTAAATATTAACTGGATGCTGGTTAAATGCTTAAAGTTTGCTAAGCACAACAGTGACTATTGCTGGCATCAATTAATTGAAATTAGGCTTTTAATCAACCCTTTAACACCCAAGATCTGATTGTTGATTCTCCCCTCTAGCTGCTACACATTTCCTTGTAAATAAGTAATGAGAATTTGGTGTCATATGGAGATAATAACTTTGACATGATAAGTTTTAATATTCCCATGACCTGTTTGCTGGATAATGTTTAGATGTTATAGGGAGAAGTTACTTGTTCATCACTCCTGGGAGTTAAAGGGTTTAACAGAACATTTTGAATTACCTGTTCACTTTCAGGTTCAGAGTCTGTATCAGTATCAACCATCAAATACTTTTTCTCTCTGTAAAAGTACTTCTTCTGCAGCACATACAGCACTACAATGTCACACAAAACTGTAGCCTACAATGGCAGAAACAAGGTGTGATGAAATTTCATTTCATAACAAAACATGTACATGATGTGGCTTACATTTGTTATGCTTGCCCAAATATGTTATTTCTGATACCCCTAATTTAACTGCAATACCTCTATATATTTCCTTGAAATATCCTTCACTCAATTAATTGCCTGCCATAAAAACTTGCCCTCCATTGGTGAAATGTTTGACTTATCCAACCCCTCTTTTTACCAACCTCTCCATTAGCACCCAATCCCACTCTTCTTCCATTCACCATACACTCTCCTCTTAATCAAGTCAAGATCTCATAAAACAGATCCCAGATTTTATTTACATACACAAAAATGTCAGTTGAAAGGGTTCCAATAATGATCACATAGTTTACTCTTACCTACCTACATTCCTTCCAGTTTTTGCAAAATTTGGAAAAAAAATTTACACTTGTTGTCCCCCTAGATGAATCAGTGTTCCCCACAAAGTCATCCCTTTACGTCAAAATACAAGACAATCTTTGTTATGTTTATCATCTGTAAAGTTTATCATTTTAGAACAAATATGTTACTTGCAAGTTACTGTAGAAGTACTACCTGGTTTACTGGTACTTACAATGCCAAGCAGGGCAAGACCTGAACCCAAATTAAGAAACAGTGGAATTGCACTAAACTTTCCTCCCTGCAGAAATGAGAAAATAACTCAATACCTGCATACCACAAACTAATAAGCTCATAGCTTAAATTACAGAGAATTTCATTTCTACACTTTGGACATTACCTCTCCATACACCATGATCATGAAGCGTATTCCATAGGCCTTGAACAAAGTCCTGTGTAGGACATTGTCTTGAACATAATAATTAGCATATCTGAAACAAAGTTGACATAAGTCATTGGACTTGAACTAACCAAGGATACAGTAAATAACTGATAACTAAAAGCAATCTGCTAATCATATTATTTATTTACAAGTTCAGTAAACTCCTGGCTAAGCTTCAAGCTTCAGTATCAGTCGTAGCTGCAAAAACATCATTTTTCCTTTTGTAATTAGAATTTATGTTCTGGGAAACTGTAAAAAATTCAAATTTACACAAACCAACTTTTAACATTACTGGCCATCTTAAAAATAGGCCTGCTCTTTTTGCCATGTATAAAATATTGATTCTAGCCAAGAATATCTAAAGAGTTCTGCCAAGAGAAGGCTTAAATTATGATGGACTGGCATCCAACAAGACAGAGTTACTATTATAATGTATAAGCTTCACAGGCCAAAATTTGTTAACAGTTACTTCCTTATCCCCTGTAAGAGGAAAAGTTGGAATTTTGCTAAAAAAGAATGATACAGCAACTACTTTCAGGTTTTTTTCTTGCTGAATAGTATAGTGCAAATATCTGTCTAGTACTCATGGTCCTGATATATCACATGATGCAAGGGAAGTAATGACAATGTTCTCCATTTCAAACAGAGACACATGAAAAGTGGTCACTAGTTAATACACATACCTGAAATTATAACCAGGTGCAATTGGTGATTTAGAGTCATCCAATCTAGAAGTAGGAAAACCATTCAGTTATATATCTAACCTAAACCACAAGTAAGGTACACCTCAGCAATCTTTTAAGGTAAAAAAAAAAAAAGTTCAATACAAACCATGGCTGCAGAAATGGTTCCCAAATAATCATCTGTCATTGTTTCCTTAACTGACATTTAATTTATTGATTAACATTTGATTTTATAATTGACCACATGATTGACATATTGATGACATAATCACTAAGTAAGTTGATCTTCAGTTCAAAGTAATGACATGTTCTTATAAAAATGTTCTGAAACTAGTGTGTTTCTGCTTGATCTGCTGACCCGTTTTACTGACCCCTTTTGCTAACCTGTTAATTGTCTACTGGGATAGTTTTGATTGGATAGCACCACAGAAGTAAGTAATTTTTTAAGAAACAAGTTGCTTATGGCCAGCAATTTCAAGAATTGCTCGCTATTAGGTTTCTGATGAATCATGTGTTAATTCTCATTGAATAGATTAAAGATCATATGATTATGTGTCCAATTATTACTTCTGAGAACCATTTTTCCCTGAACCAGCCATATATATTTCATATCATAAGCTCAAAGATAATATATACTTATTAACTAAGTAGGCAGCTGGGTAGGTACATATTTGGTTGCAGGTCATAACATACAGTCAGAGAACAGTGAAAGCTGTGGTTCAAGACTATATGTCAAATATATTCTCCCAAGCCTGACCTAACTCAGACAATAAGCCTTTTATCATGTGACTACCAATCTCTCTTATTCTGTCTTTCTTCTCCCAGCTTTCATCTTATTGGGTCACATGGCTTATTCCAGCCCTGCTTAAACCATCACATATAATTCTCACATGGGGATTTTTCTACAGTGATTTTCAATTAAAGAGTAAACACACCCATCTGTCTGGTGTGATAAAGATATTTATTTCCTAACTAACATGATAAGAATCTTCCATTATAATACATGCTGTGTAAACTATAGCATAAAAAAAACTAAAATTGGATGCATTCCAAATAGAAAAATTTTAAATCAATTACCTCCTGAATGAATACTTAGGTTCACAGAAATATGCCAAAGGGTCAAAATTACAGTTCCATGTTATGACTATGGCAATGACCCCACCCTAAAAAGAAAAGGAAAAGAAAAAACAAGGATTGCAGGTGTTTATTGAATTGAAAGAAAAGCAAAGCGAGGATGTGAATATCAGGGGCTCTTTATAATTTGACGTGGAAGGGAACCCAGAGAAGAATACACATGCAAAAACCAAAACTTGAAGTGAAATTTTTCTCTCTTATTTGAAATCATGGTTGATCAATGCACAATCTGTCTGTAACCTGGACCTTATTTTTTACATAAAGTAAGAGACCTTACTCAACAAATTCCTCAATTACATCCACAAGACATACCTTGAAAGCAATATCTTCAAAGTTCACATGTGCCAATTCAACTATTTTTCCGAGCTTGAAAATTGGACAAAGATGATCAGTTTGTGGGTCATAATTACAGTTCCTCAAGTAACTTTCATCTTCTGTCATGATGTTTCTCCTAAATCAGCCAAGAGTACAGAAACAAAGACATATTAACTCAACAATAACTCCTTTTGTACCACTAATTCAAGATTATCTATTTCACTTATGGGATACTTACAGTGATTCGTTAAACTTTGGAAACTGTACACTGTTCTTTATGAGAAGGGTGAAATCCTTGGCAGCATCAAGAAGTGGAACAGTGTTACTATGGAAGAAATTTATATTGTTAATGCAACCTTAAGTTTATGAGGTATGCCATGACTTAAACACAATGACTTGGAACTACTCTTACTTCTCATAAAGGTTTGTTTAACACACCTTAAGTTGTACCCTGGCATGGGAAGCTCGTCAATCTCCACTGGACACCATGCATAAATTTCACAAACTTTACCAAAGGGCTTTCTATCAGCATCTACACATTTTCCAGTCTTGACGCCTTTTTGCGAAAAATGAAGGAAACCATAACACAATGTAAATTTTATCTTTATCACAACACAGGATCTACATGATCCAAGTGCTAAATTCTCTTCCTTAAGTCTGCAAGTTTCTTTTTATAACAGTTATTTACTGGTATAAGGACACTGTTTCCTAGTTTGTTATTCATTATTATCCATAATTAACTGGTTGGTTTGGTTTTTGAGAGATTCTTGGGAGGTTCTTTTTAAAAGGGTCCCTTTAGTCTAGTTTCAGTTTCATGAACGGGTGAAAACATTTATCATTGAGGCACCCCAAAGGCATTTGCTAAAATCTAATTCAAAAAGGGTTTAACAAAGGAATGTAGTGTTCTTAACCCTTTAACTCTCAGAAGTGACTAACATGTAACTTCTCCCTATGATAACTACATTTTCTAGCAAATGATCAATGAGAATACTAAAACTTATCAGGAGGAAGCTTTTACCTTGATCTTACACCAAATTCTTATGACTAATTTACAAGGAATGGTGTAACAGCAAGAGCAGAGAATTAACAATCAGGTTTTGGGAGTTAAAGGATTAAATAATAAGAATTATACTTCGAAATGAACACCAAAGGGTAAACTTCATGGCTTACCATTGCCATTTTTGACTGGTTCAAATGGTGTGCAATCACTGTCACTTTTGCATCTCACGTCTGTAAAGTTTGGGTCCTCAGGACATGTGGACTGATTTTGGTTAGGTGAGATAATCATGTTTGTCATGACAAACACAACATTATTTTCCTTTATATGAATAGAAAAAAAAAGGATACAAGTGAGTGTGACCCTTCAGTATTGTTCCACCCAAGCTAAATGCTAGTCACCAATTCTAGTTGGCAACTTTTGTTTAAAAATTGCTCACCAAAACTTTTTTCAACTCTTCATGGCACCCAATATTGCTGCTGTAGATTGGAGCACTGTCTATTTCAAATTGCAGAGCATATAGAAAACACTGTCTCCTTCAATGATAAAAATTTAATTTATTGATTCATAGTATAGTAGTAGAAGGTAAGCAAAGAAAGAGCCTGAAAAGTTTTAGTATACCTCTGGGGGTATCACAAAGTCAGATGAGTCCCAAACATGAAATCCGCCGTACAGAAAGAGTTCCATGCTCTTGTTTGTTAAGTTTGTGAATGACAATCCCTTGACTTTTGTGGTCACTGAACTGTATGGCTTCTGAGACTCTTGGTACCCCTTCTTGTAAACAATCACATATCTGCAAGTTTTAAAAGCATCAGAAAACATACCATTCTTTTGTAGATTAATTGAATTGTTCATCATTGTAAATAAGAAATGTAACCATTATCTATCATAAAAAAAATTAAGGAATTTATTAGGGTTAAGGGAATGATTTTGGAATCTTTTCAGAGCGCTGCAGTCTTTTCACGAGGAAGCATATGCATGCAACCTTGTACTTAGATTTTGAAGCGGAAATTCATCTGCACTCATGCAGACGAGGATAAGTGAATCTCTTAATATTACACCTGCATTTTCAAATACACCTTTCTTACTCTGGTTTTTAATAAATATAATAAAACCCACAAATCTTTCACAGCGAAAGTCAGTGAAGAATGAAATAAAAAAAAATTAAAATTAAAAAATTATTCATTATAGTTTCGTAAGAATTTGATGCTCAAACGAGCACCAGAGTCACGCTAAGGCTTACAGGGCCACTTTTTCATTGGAATTAATAGGAATATGACCATGTAACTCAGATACATTGGCTACAAAGTGACATAACGATCTCCGAGTTTAGCAATAGCGCTGAGTAACATACTTGAAAATTTGCTAAATTTGTGATATTCCATGGAAACAGCTGGATCTCGCATGCATGTGTGAGAAATCGGTACGAATACTTACCCTATAACGTAAACAATGATAACCAGTTGTATCAAGCGATTAATAACTCCAACCCTCTTGCTTTTTATATGCACTATCTTGGCTGTATCGTACTCGAAAACCGCCGCTAGTACGGTGTCACACACCTGCCCGCAAGTAACCATTTTGGCTTCGAACTACGAACAACAATGCAATTGTGGTGTAACAGAACACCAACATTCCCGTGGGAGATCTCGGTATCAGTATCCCGTTACGAGCTAATCAAGAATGGCGGTCGATCTCATGGTTACCTAACCGTAATTTGAAGTTAAGAGACCCAAAGGTTCTTCAATACTTGATTTTATGAGAAAATTTGCAACGCATTTTTGTCATTAACTGTAGTGCAATGCTATAATTATTTTCGTAGACGATTATTTGTACGAAATTCTCCAATTCCCCTTGAAACGAGGGTAGTTGGAGAATAATTATAATAATAGGTAAAGCCTTAAAAATAAACTACTTCATTTATTTGAAAAGCTGAGATTTGCATGTGAGGCAAACTTGGAACTTAAGAATACTCAGAGAAAATCATAAGTTGAGGTTAAGTAGAGGCAACCAATTGAATATTGAAACAATGAATTGGAATTTGTCCTAAAATTTCAACATTGATAACATAAAAATTAAAGTAATAACATTTGTTTATTAGAAATTGTTATAAATCTTGGCCTGTTCTGTTTTTTTGTTTGTTTGTTTGTTTTTTTTCACTTTCGAAGATTCAAGAGGAAAATTTCACTTTGATTATTGCAAAGTCCTTCCAGTCCTTCCAACAAGGTGTATTCCCAACATTTGGAAGACTGCAAAAGTAACAGCTTTACCCAAAGGCAAAGACAACACTTTGTGTGATAATTTTCGACCTATATCTCTTTTGCCCTGTCTTCCTAAGGTCATGGAGAAATTTTCAAACAATCAGTTACAAGCCTTTGCTTTGGAACACAACCTAATAAGCAGAGAACAGTTTGCCTACCAAAAGAATTCCTCATGTACTACAGCTCTACTTACTCTTATAGATAAGTGGAAATGGGCCATAGACAAGAAACAGATTAACATTGCTACATTTTTGGATCTCAAAAAAGCTTTCGACATAATAAACCACAAAATTCTTTTGTCAAAGCTTAAAGTTGTGGTTTATGGTTAGAAAATTATCTTCTGGACAGGAAGCAATTTGTCACCTTGAATGGTGCACAGTGAGACTCTTACATTAGATTATGGAGTACCCCAATAGTGTAGTGTATTGGGTCCAACTTTATTTTCTATACACTACTATGATATTGTTAAATCGTGTAAAAATGGAGATGCCTCTCTATTTGCTGATGATACCGAAATCCATACAGCCCATTCCGAAGTAGAAGTGGCTGCACAACTTTTGAACTCTAATTTAAAAGATATCAATGATTGGCTATCTAACAATGAGATGGTAGTCCACCCCGTTAAATCAGAGGCCATGAAGATTGGAACTAAACAAGCTTTAAAAAAAGCAGGTGGTACTGAAATCAAATTAAATGACCACAAACTTAAAGAAGTATCATATTGTAAGTACCTTGGAGTGTTTGTAGACAGTTCACTAAATTAGTCACCTCACATTGATCATATTTGCAAACGAACTTATCCCAAACTGAGGCTGTTAAACCGGCTATCTTGTTTCCTCTGTTCTGATGTATTAATTAAGATCTACAAGGCTACTATCCTTCCTATTCTGGATTATGCTTGTATTGTATGGATGGACTGTCCAAAGAATTTGTCTAACAAGTTGGACTTCAAAATCAAGCCTTAAGAATTATTTTCTGCAAGAATAGGAGAATATGTTCACAAGTTTTAAGGGACCAAGTAAAGATCTTGATTCTATTCAACCGTAGACGTTTGTTTCGATTTATAACTACATTTAAAATAGTGAATGATATTAACTGTCCAAAGCAACTCCAAGACAAACTTATAAAACGTTTTAGTATTCGCTCTCGCTCTTTGAGAGATGACTCTTTACTAAATGTTCCTAATACTAAGTCGGGTTTTGGTGAAAAAACTTTTGAATTCGCTGCTGTAAGAGACTGGAACTCTCTACCTAGGGATATCAGAACTATAACAAATCTCAGCACCTTTAAAAGTAAACTATTTGAATTTTTATTACAAGAGGATCACGATTATTTATTCTTATAATTTCTTATTTTTACTATTTTGTATCATGATATTTTTAGTCCTTTTTTATGTATTTATAATAATTTTATTATATACAGATTTTACACTATATATATGCACATGGGTTAATACCAGATAGTCTTTTAAGTCTATCTGATCCATTATTTTGCATTTCAAATAAAGCTTATCAATATTATTATTATTATTATTATTATTATTATTATTGCTGTGAATCGCTTGGATTGTTTACAACTTTATGTGAAACAAGAGCCGTGCGTACAGTTTATCCATTGGCTGATTGATTGGATTCAGTTATCTTACATAAAAATAATTTGGTTTTAACAACTGAGTTGCGAATGTAAATGGGCCACCTAAAAGAGTTTCTAAAGCTGACGTGTCAAGCGTTAGCCAGAGCGAAAGGCTGAAGCTTGAGACATCAGCTTTTGATACTCTGCGGGGGCCAATCAGTTGATAAAACCAAGTTATCATGTACTACCTTTCACCGACGCAGCATCACAGTTTCCTTAGAAACTTTCCCCCTTATTCTTATAGCAACATTTGCGGCTGGATCAATAATTGTAACACCTCTTTTAACGAAAGTAATCTTGCGCATTTCTGTCAATGAAAACTCGTGGAATTCATTGCCGCATATCTAAAATTTCAATCGGTCAAAAGAAACCCTGCTGTCTCACAAAATACGCTCTGATAAATATCTTTCCGAGACAGAAAACTTAGAAATTTAATGTTATCAGATGCAAATGCGAGAAAACGCTGAAAACATAAGATCATCGCGTTACAATGTAATATCACTGAGCGTCTGTGAGGCAAAACGTAATATACGAATGGAAAACACCCCAGGTTACAAGCCATACGATATTCTTTAATTTTTGCCATAGTGTCTCCCACGTTTTTAAGAGTATCAGGCCCAGTCAGTTTTTGTTATGATGTTTGGCTGGAAAATTCTGCATCTCTCTCTGACTCTCAACAATTTAATGTGAACCCTGTCTTCCTCCTTTTGATGATTTAGTTGTCAGCAACCTGTTTCATTTTTCCATGTTCAATCAATTGTTTTCTTCACTAACATCCTGAGTAATGTCTACATTTTATCGCAAATGACGTAACTTTACCCGTCAAGATAGAAGCTGACCACGCCTGTTTTGTTTTCTCTGAGATTTCGGTCTTTTGTCGCTTTTGTCCTTTTCCATTTAGTTGAATAATCACCGTCATTAACGTCTCACAATTGTTACAGTAGTCTTTGTCGCTATCGTCTGCTATCTTTGGTTTCATACAATTTATGTGTCGAATTTGAATGCCATATCACCAGATATTTCGGTTTCAAGAAATTTCCATTGCCCCCTACCAAGCGTTCTCTGAAGTCAACGACCACTCATAGCCATGCTTCGAGAACAGGCTTGACCAATAGAACCACCCCACGTAAGCAGTAACGAACTAACTATTTACTCTCTGAAATAATACAGCCCTATTATCGTTGTAGCCTTACAGCACTGTGTGGCACGTGAGGAAGTTCCCTAACTAAACTAAATATATTGATTTTCCTTCTATGGCATCCCCTCGGAGAGGCATTGATATATTTCCTCCATGGTACTACACTGTCTCCGAAGAAACTTTTATTAGAGGTGAGAACGTTTTCAAAGCTTTAACCAGCTACGTTTCAGTTTCTATCACGAGGTCCAACGTGGTTGAGGGGTTTTACATATTTTGCCACCAATTTCTTCTAATATTTCGCATTTTTGTCGTTAAATGCAAGTCAAAACCTATTTTTAACACTGTAAAGGACTGAAGGATATATGTCATGACTCGAAATTTCATAGGATAGCCGTAAATCTGCGAAGATCTGCAACGTTTTCGACAAATTTTTCATAACACTTGTTTTCCCGCGCGCGGGTTCTTGCTAATCGAATTCCTTCCCGTAATACTTTGCGCTGGTGGTGATTCGCTTTGAAGAAATGGCGCCACTGAGAGAAAGTCATCCATAAGTTTTACTTTTTTATCTGTGTTATACCTCATCGATGTTTGCGGACTTGAACTATTCTAGTTATGGTACCATAAATTTCAGTTGCTATCGTCAAATCTGTTTTTAACGTGTCACATGAATCCGGTCATGTGAGTTAGCATAATTTTCCTATTGTGCAAGAAGAAGTCGTGCAGAGGTTCTCAAACGATCGATCGATTTATGCTCTCGGTTTAGTCGATCACAAAATGTTCCACACTACTTTGTGCCCGAAAGGCTGTGATATCGTACACCACGATGTGATCATTGCTCTTCAAGGTCTCGCTCCACGCATAAACTCGTCGCAGAATGCAGCGCCATTCAGTCCAACCAGGGCCACCCGTGGTAATAATAAAGAAGACTTCAGAAAACAGGTCGAGAGACTAATTTCCGGCGGCTGGAAGAAGAACAGGAACGTCCCAGAGGATGGAAAAGAGTTGCAGTTGCCACTGCTTCACCTGGTAAGCATGTTTGGAAAGTATGAGGCAGTGGAATGGTTGTTAAACGAAGAAGACTTCGACGCAACCCTTAGAACCTCCACAACCAATGAGACTGCACTGCATTTGGTAGCTCGTCACCTTTACAAGGCACTGTCAGCTCGTGAATCAAGGCTGGAGAACATGACTGCCACTGCTAAAGCGGTCAATTTTGAGAAAGTAGCTGTACTTCTCGTCAGGAAAGAAGTGAGCCTTTTCTGGGCAAAAGATGGCTTGAATAGGGAGACAGCTTTTCATATTCTTGGAAATTGTCTGGTTAAAGCTACTTTCCTGAATAATGACTTAAAAGAAGAAGATCGGTGCTTGGTATTCTACTCAAAGAGTATTACTGCCATGTTTAAACTTCTACTGGCAGCAAAACGCTTAACAACAAGGGATATTGTAAAGGCACTAAGTGTTAGAAATGGTGATGGCGATAGCTCTTTACACATAATTGCCAGGGCAGGAGTACATGGCTACAAACTGCTCAAATACCTGGTGAAGTCTCTGGGGTCTGCTGATATCATGAAAGTAAAGAATAGTAAACATCGGACTGTGCTAGATATCGTGAATGAATGTTATCCTGGTCATGAAAAGGAGTTGCTTGCTATTGAGGAAGGTGAGGCTGTCATCCTTAGAGGTGTTGGCAACCAAACTTGTATTTTGACAAGTTTTCTTTTACATTAGTCAGGACTAACATAACAATGGGATAGATAGTTTAGTAGGTAGATGGATAACTTAATTTAATGTGGATGAAACAGTCCTAGTTTTTCCTTAAAAAATGCCAATAAGAAAGAAACATGAACAAGAAAGCTAAGTGATTTTGGCCAAGCAAACCTGGTCAGTGACAGTGTCCTCAGGTGGTCCAAAGCTGCCTTCAAGTAATTTTTCATGAGAACAATGCAAAAGTAACGCCACCAACTGGCCAGCCATGCAAAACTATGTACCAACAATTTGGCTTTATACATAAATGATATCTTTTAAGAGCTGATCTAAAAATGGTTGTTTCAGAACTGACAGAATATCTATAACAGGGTCCTTAGCAACTAATGTTCAAGAGTCATCAGTTAAAATCCTGTTGAAGCCAGAATTCTTCAAGGCATTTTTCTGCAATTGCCAAAATTGCAGTCCATCTGCAAGAATCATTTGTTTGCTCAAAATTCCTTAAGGTAGTTATAATAGTCTAATTTAAAAACCTTGTCTCTTTAACTGGAGTTGTACTGTTCAGTGGGTCTGACATTGAAATGAAATATAATCCAGCATCATGAGGAACATTGACATTCCTTCTTCTATTTACTACAGGGAAAAGAAACACTATGGCCTTAGTTCATGCAACCCTAGCTGCAGACGACAGAACACGTACAGCAACTACACCAAGCTCAAGTGAGCACAAGAAAGAATCACAGGAGCAGGTCAACTTCATTCAGGAGAGATCCAATGAAGCTTCAGGGTTGTGCTCTGAACCAGCATCATTAAACTGTGACTCAGCAAAACAGGAAAAGCAATGTGCTATACATACAAAACACTTTTCAGACACATGTTCTCAAGAATGCTTCGATACAATGGCAGCAGTTAATGTTATTCTTAACACCCACACTCCCCTCTGTCCAGAGGAATGTGATCTGCAGCATCACCTACTCACATGCGCTGTCTTCCACCCCTCAGTTGTATTCCACACAGACATTAATGCTAGCATTCCTCTGACATTCAAGTTGTGTTTACAGTCTTGTCTTAATGCAGGCTGGAAACAAAATATGGATGTTCCAGATCCTCTAGAGAGTCTACGTCTTCCATTGCTTCACCTGATTTGCATGCGAGGAAACTTTTCTGCAGCAGAAAAACTTGCTCAAGAAATAAAGCTAAGACCTGTTGTCTCTTCAGAGGGAAAGGAAACTCCTCTTCATGTTGCTGCTAGGTATTTCCCAATAACATATCCTGACAAAATTATTGCAGACGTCACATTCAAGTCAGTCTTGAACTTTCTTGTCAAGCAAGACAAAGGAATTCTTTTCAAAGTTGATGCTAAGAATGAATCAGTGCTTCATGTTGTTAGTCATAGGATAATTGCAGCTTTCAAAGTCCTTGCAAGTCCATGTGAGAATTCTTACCTCCGTAGCTTACAGCTCAGACAAAAGAACTGCTACATGAAAGCATTGAAAATTATTCTTGAAAAGCTGACAGATCTCCAGTCAGAGGACAAGGTTTGTAGAAGACTAATTTGCGAATTGCTGGCTGTTCAGAATGATGCCAATAGCACATTCATCGATGTTCTTCGTAAAGACTCAGTGAACGAAATTGTACAGAGCCTTGTTTTGCATGTGAAGGAGGAATTGCCATTTTGTTTTGCTGATGGAAGTTTTGATGTAGTCATCGCAGAATGCCCATCATCATGTCCTTGCAAAGGAAAAGCTGTTTCTACCAAGAACCTTGGTAGTCAAATGAAAGCTTCTCAATCAGAAGGTTTGTTACCCCTTGCAAAGGAGCAGTCTACTGTGAAATTTCTGTAGATGTGATGTACTTGTTGCTTTAGTTGCTCTATGTAGGGTTCACAATTCTCAGAAGAGGAGTGAATTACCTGAATAAATAAATTACACTGTATCTCCTTCATTTTTCTGTTTCTTTTGCACTTATTTGAGAATTATAAACCCTCTCAGAGTAAAGGAGAAGTTAAGATTTCTTCAATCCTTTACTCCCACAAGGATAGAGGGTCAAGACTTTTATAAGGAGTAAATGCAAATGTCCAGTGGTAGTGCCAGCAATGGCAAAAACATGATCAGACTATTTTAGGCAGATACTATGGGTTTTCTAAGAACTATAATGATGTCAACTCTGTTTATAATCAGAACAACCACCTGCCAATGTCAATGTTTTGCATTCTAGGCAGAGACTATCACAACATGTCTTTCACATCATCATGATCATCATCACTGTCCACATTACAGAGTGAAGTCATTTCTTTGCAATGAAACATCAGTATTCAAATTCTCTATGCTGTTCTGTTCTCCTTACAAGGGGGATTTGTTTGACTATCAAGAGCTTCAGTTTGCAATCATTTTATTCTCATTACCTTAATATTTGGGTCGGGGATAATACAGTTGGGAGATATTACATGCTTATCATCACTCAGAGATCATCACTCAAGTGGTTAATGCTGAAAGTGTGTTCTTGGGAGAGACAATTAAATGTAACAGTATCTCCCACCCTGGAGTTGAATTAGATACAGGCTAACTGGGGGGGGGGATAGGAGAAATAGTCTTTTCAATGCTGCAAAAGCTAGAATAAGCACTGGTGGTGTGAGTTACCATGCCTGGGAGACTTTTTTAATCAGTTCACAAATCTGAAAGGCAAAGTATATGCAGATTGAAGACAACAATAGGAAATTGGGTTCTTTTATTTGTCTGGTTTTTTTTTTTTTTTTTTTCTTTCTCCTACTGAAACAGTAGGGAATGTATTAAGAGGAATTGTAATAAATGAAGATACAAAAATTTGACTAATTGCGAAAAGAAAATGGAATAATTTATGAATTAAGATGTTCTAATACTGAATGTATTGCCTCTAACCAAAGGTGGAAGATCAAATTCAGTTCAAGAACCGGTGTCATCTTCACAAACTCTGTCACCACATGTAGACCACAGGGCTACCAAACAGCCTCAACCAGCTGCTTCCGCCCAAACAGCACCAGCTGCTCACAGCCAATCTTGCCATCTTACTCTCGTTCAACCTGCTCAGGCTACCTCCGGTCAACTGTTGCAAGTTGGTTGCATTCCACCTGCACAAGTTACTTACAATGAGCCTGTTCAGTATTCTTCCGCTCAGCCAGCCCAAATCCAAGCTGTTCAAGCAGCTACAACATCAAGAAGGCCCCAAGCAGAAGTGCAAAGCATTCAAGTGCTTAGACAAGCAACAGCAGGCAACTCCTTACAACAGACTTTCCCTGTAGCAAAACCCACTCACCATATTCCTGTGGTCATTATAAAACAGGAACAGGATGGTGAAGAATATGATGCTGAGTGTTTTCATACCAGTAGTAGCCAATGCAGAGCTTCCCCACCAAAACAGAATGCTGTTATAGTTACATCAGACACCCCTGATGTTTCCATTGCAGTTCAGAATCCTTTAACAATACAGACAGCTGAAGAGGGGGTTCAGCAAGGAAACCCATCTTTGTTTTGTTCTTCACCATTGGAATCGCTTCAGCAAATGAACCAGGCAGTAAGAAATGGGACAGCAGTTTTTGATCCTCCATCAGTTGTCAGTACCCAAACAACAGCTGTACCACATCGACGAAGACGGGGTCGACCTTGCCAAGCTGTAAAGAGCAGTAGTACAGGTGCAGCTGTTGGCCAAACAGCAACAAAGACATTGCCACAGACTGAACTACAGAAGATAACCCTAACAGTTAAAGACACAATTGTAGCAGAATCATTGGATAGTTTATCTGACACAGACTACAAGTTAGGTATGGTAACTAAAAATATTGCACACTTAAAAAGTATTTTTGCCCTCCTTCCTCCTGCATCATGGTGGGTGTACTTCTATGGGTAAAAAGGTAGCAATGTTAATTTCGTAAATTGTGCATTTCAGTAAATTCAGTAACGTTATATTCAACCATGTCACCAAAACTGAAGCAAGTAGGGCACAACTTCTTATCAGATTAGGCCTTAGCATGCTACAGTACAGAAGTGTGACTTGTTCTTAGGCATTTTACTTTCATCATTCATAATTTAATCAAACTAATCTAATTGACGTGCAAGACATTTTATACTGATTGCTTTATTCCATACTAGTATGGTGAAAGTGTTTCTTAAACCTTGAAACTCTCAGAAGTAATGAACATGTAACTTCTCTATATAATATCCAAACATATGACAAGTAGAATTTGTTTTGTTGATATAACACCAAACTCTGGTTACTAATTGACAATGAAATACGTAGCAGCTTGGGGGAAGAATTAACAATCAGATTTTGAGAGTTAAGGAGCTAATAAGTAATATATAAGTTATAAACTGGGCTGAAGTGTTTTGTTAATGGTAGTATGATCCTTTCAAGAACTAATTTCATGGAAAGAGACATTTATGATTTGCCCTCTTTATAAACTGTGTAAATTGTAGTTATATTCTTTCCTTTATAGATTTATTTCACACACCACTTTGTGATGAAAATTGCAGTATTTCCCATCATCACCTTATCTTGACATTGTTGAACACCTCAAACAGATTGTGTTCCAAAAGACGAGCAAACAGTTTTTTGGTGCTTTTGGAAAATACTAAAGTCAACTTCCTCAAATGTGTGAAGAAGAACCTCATGCAGGGTCTTTGCAAGGATAATGATCTCTGCAATGATTTGGAAATTTTCCAGTATCCACTGATTCATGTAGCAGCACTGCTATTAAAGTACACAGCAGTAGACATGCTGAATTATCTTGGATTTAAACTGGACTCCTGCTCCCAGAGAACAGGTGAGTTTCCCCTGCATGCAACTCTTCGTCACTGCTACGATGCTGGTGTGAAAGTTTACAAGTCACCTGGGTACTTTGAGAGGCTTTTTCCTAAGGTGTTTGAATGTCTTTCCAAGGATATTAGTTTGTTGAAGCTACTGTCACAGCAAGATAGAAATGGAAATACACCTCTACATGTTGCAGCTAAGAAGATTATTGAAAGACCAGGTCCCATCACAACATCGGCAAACATAATAATACCATCAAGTCCTGATTCCACTCAAGAATGTCACTCTTGCAGTTCCCAAGCTCAACCAACTACTCAGGTGTCTTTAGGTTGCAACTCAGGAGCAAGGATTACAACAATCCACCAACACAGAGCTAATTTTTACATAGGTTGTTTGGTTTACATTTTCTTAAAACTCCGTGAAGTTGCTACAGAAAATCGTAAAGTTGTCCTCAGTGTAGTCAAACCTGTACTCACAGTTACAAACAAGGAAGGAGAAACATTTTTGCAAATCATGTGCAAAGAGCATCACATTGCCATGAATGGTATAGTTTCATTGCTCGCCAATTTCCCCCTCCCTGTGTTTTATAACTGCATTAAGCAGTGTATTCCAAAAGACTGTTGGCCTGACATTGTTAAGAACTGGCACCTCCATGAAGAACATGAGATTGACTGTGGGTCGAATCAAAATGAACCTGTGTCGTCTCCCCTGGAAGTGTCCATGCCACCAGAGAAAGAAAGAGGTAACTTTACCAAAAGTGTTAATTAGTATATTGAAAGACTGAAACTGTGGTGATGTCTTTGTAATCATTGAACATTGAACATTCCCAAATTGAATTGTAATCTTAGATGTTTACAATGGTAATAGGACCAAGTTGAGTCCAATTCGGTCTGTAATCATACAAGTGATTAACAAAATTGGACGAGCATGAAGCAGGAGTCCAATTTGTTAATCATGAGAATGATTACAGACAGAATTGGACAACAAGAAGTCCTGTTAGCAATTAATCATAACCATTTCTATTTTCCCCTAGGAAATACACCTAGAACAATTATCTCCAGTGGAGACAATGCATTTTGTTTGACATTCCTCCATTTTGTAAATTCCCTAGTTTTTCTTTGGATAAGTGGTTGTTGCTATGGTTATTGTGATAATTTCTGTGATTGGTGGACTAGTGGAGTGGACTTAGTATGATTGGCTGCTTCAACTGTCTGATTACAGGAGTGCCATTACAGCCAACTATCCGATTACACTGTCTTATTACAATTGTACAGAATGATTAGTGAAAAATGAAGCTGTGAATACACCGATAATATTTGAGGAATTTGTAATGGTTATGATTAAGGGAAGAATAATACCTAAAAACTCAGAGAAAAACTGTTCAAGAAAAAAAATGAGAAACATCAATCAACACAACCACATTGGGATTTAAGATGTTTTGCTTGATTCTAGACCATCATTTGGGGCAAGCTCTGGACAATATTAATTCAGGATGATTTCTCTAAATGCTCTTGAATTCCTGGATGGCACCTCTTTGAGTGCTGTATTTCTACCTACACTAAGATAAACTCAAGGAGGTCCACAATATGAGAAAAATAATTTTTTTTTGGTGTAGTGGTTAATTTTCAGTAGTGGATTGATCTAGGTTGCTCCTGGAAAACCATTTGAGATTTAAAAGCTTAAGCACTAGCAGACAAGCCTAAATTTAACTGTACAACAATCTGATTTTGTTAGACTCCTATTTCATGTGCTTAAAGAATGGTTGTTGCTTACAAACTTATAGTGAAACAGTTTAATGACCATGAAATTAAAGGCACAGATCAAGCTAGAAAAAACAGGCATTAAGAACTTCTGTGGCTGGTTGAGTCAAGACATATTTTGTACTACATGATTATATCTTCTGTGTGGTGCTATCATCAACTGCATGTGCACTTTATTTTTCATTAGGAGCACAACCTTCCAAACCAGAGTCACCCAAGCCATCTTCAGATGTTATTTTTTCAGAAACACCTGTGACTGTCTCCCCCTTAGCAGAGGTGTCCATAGCTGAAGAGTCCATTTCTGTTCCCTCTCCAGCCACACCCCTACACAGCAGTGCTAGTGCAATATCACAAAGTTCAGGTTCCGGTGTGGGCAACCTCAACTCAGTTCTTACACCACTGGTAGCAAACCCTGTGCACACCACACTGAGACCAACAACTAAACGGAAGATCATTGAAGCATTAAAGGAAGAGTACACAGAGAGATTGGAATTGGCTGTGAAGGGGAGGCATGAAGTTGAGGAAGACATCTCTAAGCACAAGTCAAAGACAAAAGAACTCACAGAGTCTATTGTTAAGAGAAAGGCTCAAGTAGAAAAGCTGGAAAAAGAACTGCAGGAGATGCAAAAGGAAATGTGGCACAAGAATCAGGCCATTCAAGCTCTGGAGAGCAGCCTTGAGCAGTTTACAAAAGAAGAGGCAGAACTGAAAAAAAATCTCCTTATTCTCCAAGAGGCAGATCCTGAGCCACCTGCCAAGAAGAATAGAAGTGAGGAAAGCAGCTGCTGTGAATAGTAAAATGAGTGAAAAACAGGAAAACTCTAAGGAAAGATAGTCTTATAGTTATTCTGACAGCAAATAATTTCACATCACCAGGCCTTGTGCCTTACAGTCCATTTTCTTAAAAAGGAAGGCATCCTTAAGGCAATTATTCTGATGCAGTCAGAAATTTTTCAAGTCCCCTTTTGGAAACAAAGGGTTTTAATGTTCACATTTCTGATAAAAGAATAATTCTTACAAGATCTCTCCTAGTAGGATGCTCCTTAACTGATTGATAGGATTATTATACAAAGCTTGTGGAGGGATTACATACTGCATGTGATTCACCAGGCTCCTTGATTTCACATTTTGAAAATCAGGGATAGAGGAAATAAAATGGATTGTGACATCAGCCATAGGACAAAGGACATTGACAATTATATTTTAAAGGAGACTGAGCGAACCAGCTGGTCCATGTTGGACATTACATTATTATTGATATTTACCTGATTTTTCACATCACTAATTTTAATTAATCTAGAAAACTAAAGTAGGATTTAGTCTGTGTGATGATAGCAGTGAAATTTTAATTGAATCACTGCCTTTTCGTTTTTATCGTTATTAATATTAAGAGCCCTGCTCTTTAAAGTCCCTGATGGGATTTTGACATCTCTTACATTAATTCCTTTTGGTAGAGCTGAAAACAAAAGATTCTGTGGAGGGCACAGTTCTGTGCCTTTGCTAAAGCATTGACCAAAAGTTATGACTACATGCATTTATACGTATGTTGTGTAGAACCAGTATCTAGTTTGGGTGGAATCTTTAGGTGTTATGAAACAATTCTATGTTGGTAAACTGTTTTTCAGATAATTTTGAACATTTGGTTTAATATTTATGCTGTGTATTTTTTGCTACATATTCACAAATTGTTATTGGTCAACCAGACATGTTAATAAAGATTTTAATAAGGTTTCTTGGTGAATCTATTATCTACTTTTTCACTTAATGCTTGATAATGGAGAAGGAAATGTTAACTAGTGGGATGGTAAGAATGTCCATCATCTTAGATGAAGACAACTTGTGTAGTTGCCTCTTGGTTTGTGGTTATTAGGTTGTAAAAAAGTGAACATCCCCTTCCACACCCCAAAGCCTCTTGGAAGTGTTTCAATGATCCCTTCCCCCCGCCCGGTAACTTAAGGATGGTCGACCGTTAGCTATGTGGGGGGGTGGGGTGGGGAATTTAAGCTGAAAGGGTCAAGTCTTTCCAGGGAAATACAAGTGTAGTATCTTTTAATAGAGAGTTTTGTAAAGGCTTTTTTCGTTTTTCAATAAGAGTGAGGAAACAAGAAAGAAAGAATATAGATCATTAAAGCATTTAAATATTGAGCTTTCTACGCCCAAGCTTGCAGAACAAATAGCTGAGATGGATTCAATGTAGGGTTTAAATCTTGGGAATTTATTTATGGTCCTAAAAGATTATAGGGGCACATACATCTGGAATCAGGAGGGAATGCTAGTAGGAAAACATCATTAACTTAGTCTAATGTCTGTGGTAAAGATATCGATTTAAACTTTCCTTAACCTGGCGAAATTTTGCCTCGGAAGCTTTTTTGAACTTAGCAGATAAAGGGACCTTTTCAGGTAATGGAGCGAAGCACCTTTTTTTAGCGCGCGTGCGGACCCCTCCTGTTCTAATCTATTGTGTTCGCTGTCAATTGTCATTCATTCAGTATGATTGCTACAAATAACAACTTGGGTCAGATTTTATTTGTGTGATGAACGACGAGACGAAGTGTCACACGCCGTTTTGTCCTAAAGACTGCTCTGTAGTTCATCATGATTTGATCAAAGCCTTGTGCATTGAGAGGAACCGCAGAGAAACCTCTAGCCGCTTTTCTTCCAAGTCCCACGTTTTGCTACGACAGTGCGTTCATTCGTACGAACAAAATGGTTGGGATCGAAACAGCGCCGTGCCAGATTCATTACCAGATCTAAGACACCCACTGCTATATTTAACCTGTGCATTCGGGAAACATCGAGTTCTAGAGACACTGGTGAAGCTAGATTTTAACCCTGCTGTTGTTACTAAGGATGGGGCAAACGGACTTCATGCCTTGGTCGACCATTTTTATCGAGTGGGTAACATGAAACAATGTGGTGGGTTCATGGCGATTGATAAGAGACTGGAAGTGTTTGAAAACGTGGTGAGTATTCTCTGCTCCCGTGACCCTAATATCTTCTCTACCAGAGAGAACATTCAAGGACGTACTCCCTTGCACATGGCTGCCGAAAGTGTAGTCTGTACTAGTAGACATGCCAGAGTGGATGGAAGATGCGATCCCTTGAAAAGGACCAGATACTTTCAACGCTGTTTGGAAGTCATGCTGGGTCACATTCTTGAACTTAGAAGTAACTCTCTGCTGACGGATTCTCAAGTGATGAATACTATTTCAAGTCAGGATAACGAGGGTAACACTATTTTACACATCCTGGCAAAGAGCCGTACCCTTCCGGGCTGGGAATCCATTCAATATCTCCTGAAAAATTTCGCAGATAGCGAATTCCCTCAGAAAAGGAATAAGGACTCCAAAACGGCATTCGACATACTTTCACAGTTCAACGGATTTATGGCGAAGAGGTTGTTTCACCCCAATGATGTGGAGATGATAATGGAACAAGGTAATTGATGAATTTGTATGAATAGAATGTTAGGTTATTAACAGTAACTATAACTGTAATTTGCTCGCCACTTCTAGATATCTTTTTTTCCCAATCAAGATGACCTTTCAACTAACCATGCTCCCCTATGAACTTTGAAAGTTGGCCGGTGTGAACGAAAAAACGAAAAATTGAAACCACAGGAAAAAGAGAGAAAACAAAAGAAAAAACCAGATCTCATATGGAGAAATCAAGAATATCTGTTGATCATTTTAAAAATTCAGTTCATTACTTGATAATTCTACAGACATGAGGTGTTAGGTCCTCCTAATCCCCTGCAATCCAGCCATTTAATCTTTTTCCCAGTCATTCATGCTATATCTGATAAATAGTCTAGGACACCAAGAGACCTACAGTTGTATGATAAACCATTCCTGAGAATAAGATTCTGGGCTGGGCAAAACTTCACAATTTGATTCAGTAGATTGGTTTTCCAATCTGAATTAAAAAGTGGCAAAGCAATTTCTTCAGCTGTTATTCAACATTTTATTACAAGGACTTTGTCCCCAAGTTGTAACTTAAACTATGAAAAACAATTGTAAAACATTTCTTTTTACAGATGTCAATGGCAGTTCCTCACCTACAAACTGTGATCCTTTACTGAGCCTTGAAGCCTCAGGTCTCACCAGGATTACAACATCACCATCCTTTACTAATGACATTACTGTCCAAGCTGTGTGGAGTAAGGCCCCTCAAGCAGCTGGATCTCCATCCAAAGGAATGCAGAAAGTCATTCCAGTTAGGTCACTAGAGTCTGTTGTTCTTTCATTACGCAATACGGCAAAATCTTCAGCCACTCCAGCTGCAAAGAGTCACGCAGGAAGCCCAAGTTCCCCTACCCAAAATGAGCTCTCTGTGCTTTCACCAAATCCCTTCTTGGTTAATGAAAAGTCCAAAGATCCTGTGGGCTTGGAATTGGGGTCAGACTGTGGAGAGGAAAATTCATCAGGTTTTGTTGACAATGAAACAATTTCACCTGGATCAGGTGAGGTGCCATCCCAAATATCTGGAAATGCTGTGGAGGACTTTCCAGCAAGACGTTTCTCTGGTGATGAACCATACCCTGTTTTCTTGCCAAATTTTTCACAATCTGAAGTGGAGTGCAGTGAATCCGACATAGAAAAACAGGGGGTTAGAGATACATTTTCCTCATGTTGTCCACCTTCGTCACATCAAACCAATGTAGAACTGGAGAATTCTGTTGGTATGTCACCCTCAACTCCAGATTCTTGGATGCTAAGCAGTGAGAGGGAAGCCACTGCTTCTTCCAGCACATCTTGTGTAGCATCACTGGCTGGTTCTAGTCAGCAGTCACCACCACACAAACATTTAGACTCTACTACAACAACTAAACAGAATGGTCAAGTTACAGCTGACAGTGCAGAAGACAAACGGCCAGTTGGAACTGCATCTTCCTCAGGGGATAGTGCCTTTTTTGACTTTCTCTTGACACAAGGAAGTGATTTTAACCCATCAATGAAATTGCAGATTGTGGAATTGATTAAGGGCGAGTTTGGGAAAAAGATGACAGGCTTTAATATGGAGATCTTCAAGGTGGAAACTGAGAAGAAAAATTTGGAGTCAGAAATTAAGAACTCCAAACTGAAGTTGCAACAAAAAGAGGAAGAGAGACGCAGATTGTTTGCAGATATTGAAAAACTTCAGAGGAACATTGTGCAAGCAACAGAAAAACACAAAGTACTGTCAGAGAAATGCATGAAACTGAAAGAAGATTCAGAAGTTGTAAAGCGAAAGATTTCCTCCTGTGAAGAAGTAGAGAAGGAACTTTTTGGTACCCCTGCTAAGATGCAAAAGTTTTTGGATAGTAAATAATAGATGGATAAATTTTGTCATCGAAAACAAAGAATACAGTGGAGAGGCAAAGCTACTTTGTTATCACATCAGCTTCAAAATTTATTCTTCTTGGGGTGAGAGAGGAAATCTTTAGAATTTTTTCATAGTAATTGATCAATATTGTCAATGTAGCAGCTATTTCTATGGACACTGATTCAAAAAAATGCTCAATCATGTTTTTCCTTTTGCATTCCTTGGTAAAAATCAACATTGAGGTGTAAGATTTCTTCTCAAAACAAAAATTTAAGCAAGCTAGCCCAATTTTCTGTTAGTTGTGAGAGGAGATCTAAAGTGTTCACCAGGTTCATTTATAGTCTTTCCCTTGTTTTTACTCTGACAAAAAAAAAAGCTTCTTGAGTTAGGATTAGATAAGTGTATGGATCAGCAATTTCAAGTTAAACTCTCTCGGGTCAAGTGTATTATGTATCAGCTATTCCCCCTTGACTCTTGATCTTGTAATTGCAGAAGGGAGGACACCTTTTTTCCTTTTCTACTGTAACCAAAATTAATCTTGCCTTCAAAGTATTTAACGATTTAAATTACAAAGAGTAGCTTTAATTCTATGTTGAACTTTGGGCACCTAACATTTTGAAGATCAACATGATTCATTTGTCTTAATGCTTGTACTAGTGATGTTATGGCTCATAAGTTGATATTGACTATTTATGGTATACTTTTGATTATATTTGAAAAGAGTGAAGCTGATCGTAAATGAATTATCTTTATTTGCTGTGTAACCCTTTAACCCCTAAGAGTGACTATCATCTAATTTCTCCTTACAATATCACCCTTAAATCACACTTAAAGGTTATGAGAATTAAAGAAGTGATCACCAACCAAGCAAGCTCTTGATTTTTAGTCAAATTCTCCTTGTCAGCACCTTAAGAAATGTGTTAAGAACAGTATGGAGAATATGCATACTGACCTTAGGGTGTAAAGGGTTAACATGGCTAACATATATTTATACAAAAAGCCTATTTACATCTACAGACATAATATATAAACATTTGTATATTTTTATTGTTACAGATATAAATAACATCAAACAAGAAGACATTTTTCCCAGTTTGTTATTTGCACAGTTTGGGTTTATACAGGAAGAGTAAATTGCAAAACAGTGGCAAACACTCATTGAGTTACTGTTATTTCGTAGCACACCATAGAAATTATTCATAGAATTACAGTAGGACACAGCCTAAAGAAGTTCTTCCTTCCCTAGAGAACTATGGTTAGACCTCCCCCCCCCTCCCATTCCCTGCAACACCACTTGAAAACCCTACCCTTACTTTATGTGGCCTGAAACTTGATCATAAATGTATTTGAATATGGCTGGCTGGTAATAATTGTTTGGAATTATAAAATCTGCAACTACCCTTTCTACCAAAAACCTTTGATTAAAATGGATAAGTTAATGCTATCTTAGAAATCAAGCTTTTGACTGATAAAAGTTAATTAAAAGAGCATTTTTGTTGTTTCAGTTGGTTTGCGTATCTTTCTTTGTTTGTGTGTTTTCTTGTTATCCCCCACTAAAAGGATGTAACTAAACCAGGAGGGGTTACACAGGGTTCCCAAAGTTCACATTATCCCTTTCATGGATGGGGTGTTATTCAAGTTCAGTAAAATGGTAGTTTGGTTCAAAATGCTACTTACCCCACCTTGTAGACTAGGAATGAGGTTACATTTTCACCTCCTCCCTTGACACTTGGGATTAACAAGGCACTTAGACCCATATCACAAACACTCCCATAAATATTTAGGTGTATATGTAGATAGAAATCTATCTTGGGATTATCACATGAAATATATCTGCCAAAGAGTATATCCAAAGCTGAGAATGCTTAATAGAATTTCTACCTTTTTATCTCGGGATATTCTATTGTTAATTTATAGGCAAATCATTTCGCCCATCATGTATTATGGGTCAATTAGATTGTTCTAAAACAGTATCTTAAAAGATTGAACGCTTGCAAAATCAGGCTATGCACTCAATATTGAATACCAATTGGAAAACTTGCTCACAATAAATGCATTGTAAATTAGATCTTCTTACTTTAGGAAATCGTAGGCGTTTTTCGCGTGCCTCATTGTCTTATAACATAGCTTGTAAATTTGTGTAATCAAATTCAATTGCGCGAGCGTGCTTCATATTTCTATTGTGCGCGCTCACGACGTCAGCAGACAAATCCCTCGAGAAAAAAATTTTCCATCGGGTTGAAAATGTTATAAAACAATTGGTTCATACATCAGCTGTGCGTTCAGCGAGATATGAAGCACTTGGGAAGTTTGGAGAGCACGAAAGATGCGTAAGAGTTGCTCTAGGCGTAGCCTCGAGCAACTTTAGCTTCTTGAAAGCACGCTAACGTATGAACCAATTGTTAATTTTAAGACTGTACATAATATTAGTTTTCCTGATCAACTGGTAGATTGTCTTATATGTAGATATCGTATGCATGATAGAAATTTACGTGATAGGACTATTGCATCTTCCCAAGATCAAAACGAAGACTAGCCAAGCAACTTTTCAGTTTGCAGCAGCAGATTGGAATAGTTTTCCCAAGTACATTAGAGATATAACCTCTTTGAAGAGGTTTAAGACTGAGTTATATGGTTATTTTAGAGATTTAGATGTTAAATTGCATTGTTGCGCGCAAACCCAGGTTTTATAGTTGATTTTTTTTCTAGTTGTTGATATTTTAGATTTTATATTTAAATATAAATATCCGATTTTTATATTTTAGGGTTATATTTTAAAGTTCTATAATTAGTTTTTTAAATTATTTATAGAGATAGAAGTTATGGAGTGTATTTTATTATAGCTACACATGGTTTGATACCAGCTTTTACTATGGAACTAACAGATCCATTTTTTAGGGTAAATAAAGTTATTATTACTATTTTATTATTGTCATATTGATCCAACTTGTGTAAAAAAAATTTACATGGGTATGTGTATACTGTTCCCTATACATTTCTAGTGATATTGACATCGAGAATTTACTTGACAATCAAGAGCTTCTTGTGTAGGTGGTCATTTTCTGTATTCTTACCTTCATGTTTGATTAAGTAGTGATGTAAAGAGAAATTATGCGCTAGTTCCTCTTACAGGCTTAAAGTTCAGTAATGATTAATAGGCTTGGAGTGTGACAAGCATTGTTGACAAAGTCTGTCAGAGCTAAGAAACTTGGGAAAATATCCAGTCTAACTAATGCAGTGAGCAGGGACAGTGCACTGATGGTGAGTGATAATCCAAAGACATTGTTGACTGAACTGTAGCAAGTCATTTATTTGTATCGTCAAAATCATGACAATTACACAATCGAGAAAAATTTGGAGACATACTTCGATTTCTTCTTCTGATTCATCTTTTAGCTTCTTTTCTTTCAACCACTTTGTTGTGGGAGCATAAAAAATAGAAATCAAAAACTCAGCACTTTTTATGCTTACTGGGATTAAAAATACGAGTGAAATCTTTCGAAGGAATAATTGTGGAAATTCAACAGAAAGCGAAGAGGATAAGGAAAAAGCAAGGAAACTTGTATTTGAAATTAGTCCAGATAAGAGGAGAAAACTTTTGCGGTACACGAAATATCCAGGGAACGAAACAAAAGTTTGGAATAAAATGTTCATTCCACACGGGGTTTCTTAGCTTTTCCCAGTAGCTTTGTCATGGTACGTTCACAACGGGCAACTTTCCTTTTAAGAGCTTTTCTCTGTTTACTTAACCCTTGTTGCTCGGTTGTAAAGTCCTGAAACAAATTCTCGTTTTTGACAATCTCTCCCTTCACAAATTCTATCTCTTCTTGCAGCTGTTTGACTTTCTCCTTCTGTTGAGTAATATTTGATTCTGTTTCCCTTAACTGTGCAGCCAGTTTAGGAATAGTGCTCTCTACTTTGTCAAGCTTATTATTATACTGCGCTATAACCACTTCCACCACGCCCTTTTTGCTGCACGCATCCAGTTCGAGCCCCTCGGTTATGAGGAACTCTAGGAAGCAGTTGTCTGTGATGCACTTCAAAATAGTACTTTTTTCATCTGAGGCCTCGTCATCAGCGTCCAATGGTTCAAAAAACTGGGAATGGACACTTTCAGTGCTGGCCGACGTTAAGGAAGTGGCGGAAATGGTGTGGTGCGTACGTGCGCTGGTTTGATCAATGTTTCGTCGTGGGCTTAATACGGGCGTGTTCATTATGCCATAGGTGTACTCCTCTATGTATTCAGAAGACTCTGGGATTTGTTTCCGAGGGCGGTTGGGTAAATCCCGAGCTTTTGACTCACCAGTAACCTTGGCTTGGGAAGAATTAGCAGCCTGCTTACCGCGACTGGTCTCGAGGACTTTGCAAACAGAGGGTTGCTGCTTGGAGGCAACATCGTCTTGGCGGCTTATGCTAGTGAGAGTAACTGGAGACTGTAATGGGATTTGCTTGTCATGCACGTCCGGAGAGCCACTTTTTGACTCTGGAGAATCGTGTAACTCAATCGTGTTCTTATCAGATTGGTCATTTTTTTCTGCCTGTGTTGTCTGAGCTTCGGGTCTACAGGACCCCTCGGCCGCAGAGCTTTTCCCTAGACAAGGCCCACTATTACTTTTTTCGGGTACAGTAGCGCTGCATACAGCAACTTCCACAGAGCTTAAGGCTATCCGCTCTTCAGTGGGAGATGTGACAATAGCTACGTCCTTAGTAATGCTATTGGCGACTTTAGAATCATCGGAAGAGAGTTTATGGGTGAAGGGTGCTTTTGGGTCAGACGGAGCATTATCTGTGCCGTTAGTACAAGTGTCCGACACCTCAGGGCGTTTTGATGCGGCGTGAAGTGCGTCTCCAGTTTCAGATGCGTTATTCCGCTCGGTATTTTCCTCCAAAGTCAAGTTCACGGTAGACTGGATAGTTTGAGAGGCGCACATGACTTCTGCTTCAACCGGCACATTTAATACACTCTCATAGGGGGAGATGATCTGATTGGACTTCTCAGAAAGGCTGTTGAACGAAGGGATATCCATCTGCGATAGTTTACCCAAGCTGCTATCAAACGAAACTGTCAGAAGATCGTGCCGTCTAACGTTTGAATTAATTGGAGCAGAAGTGTCTCCAAACACTGATCCAGCGTCAGTCTCCCGTGAAACAGTGATGGCTTCATCGGAACCATCGTCCTCTTCTTCGATAGTGTAGGTGATCTGTGGTACATTGCTATCAGAGATGACAATTGGACGATCTCTGTTTGTGATCGCAGAAGGTCCCGAATCCCTTGAGGTGCTGGGAGTTTGTGAGTCGTTGTCCGAAATGTCGGATTCTGAGCTGATTGTGATCACACTCTCACCTTTGAATGAAATAAAACGATGGTGATTTAAACAAGCATTATTTTGAAATAGTTTTGATCCATATGAAGGCACCTGGCTTACCCCAAGAAATGAAGAGAAGGCATTGAATAAAATCACTCTCGAGTGGTTGAGTCGTTTTGTGTTGAAATGAAATAAGAATGGCCGCTCTGATTGGTTGGAATATAGTGAGATGACATAATCTTTCTTTGACTTCTTGTCTTTTGTTTTCTGAGTTTGTTAAAATTTTGTTCATGTTATATTACTAAGGATCATTACCAAATCGGCGCATCTATACGAAGTTATCACTTTTTTCCCTTAAAAAAAACATTTTTAAATTTCTTCGTTACTCTTACTTTTCGCTAAAAATTCCGGAAAAACTTGCGTCGCTCTCTTACGATTGCGTGCCAACGCGATGTCGGGGACAGTCTGGTTCTCTTTGTTGACTATGGACGGCACTTCACCAGGAAAGAAAATTTTCAGAATTTGTTTCATGGTCTTAAAACCGTAGGCATAATCTCGCGCCAAGATGTGAAAAATCGTATCTCCTTCATTGTTCTGTGCATTTAAGCCCTCTAACGTTTCGGTTCTTGTGACCTGTCCAGCTTCTTCCATCTCTAACACCCGGTTCACCATACTACTCATACAGAATTGGTAAAACGTGGCACTTTTTCCAAGCCGGTCACTTTCTCGATCATTCCAAACATTTTCAGCTACGGCATGAAAAACTGTATTTCCGTTGTTGTCTGGTACAAATATGATCTTGGGATCGCTGTCAGTCAAAGCGACCAAAATTCGCTCAAACGCTTTCCTCCTGTTTTTAATGGGCCCTAAAGTTGATGCCACTTTCAAGCCTCTGGTCTGCAAGGAACCTGTTCTGTAAATGTACTCGACAGCACCGTGCAAGGCGGTCTCACCGCAGGAGTTGAGAACGTGCGGATCAAAGCCGTCCTGTAGGAGTGCTTTCACCAGGCCTGCCTTGCCGAATGCAGAGGCAAGGTATAACAGGGGACATCTTAGGTCTTCTAAGGGATCAGGGACATTGCTATTGCGATCCCAGCTCCTGCCGTACGATTCAATGCATTCCTTCAGTAAGTCGGGAAGCTCGTCGGATTTTTGCGAACTATCCAAGCACAAAACGGTGACTAAGTCGTGATGTTCGATCTTACAGTTCTTGATACAGAATGGAGTGTGATACTTTTGAGAAACCATCGCGCAGATTTGAGTGCTCTAGGATAAAAAGCGCACGCTAAAATAAAGCATTCGTCATTAAACGATTGATTACGTAGCGTATCGTCGTTTCAATTAGACAGCACTTAATTGTTTAATTTAATGATTTGATCAATTAAAAGAAATAGCCTGACTTACTTGTAAAGAATCACAGCGATTTCCAGACAATATTTTCCAACTTTTAAAATTTGTAATGTAACATTTCACTCGCTTAGACTTTCGAAATGAATGTGAATATATGTTCATTACTTCGCAATAATGAACACTACTTGAGCAGTAGTGAAAATAAGGCCTGGGAAAGATTCAGGCCTGTACGGGATTTGAACCCATGACCTCTGCGATACCGGTGCAGTGCTCTACCAACTGAGCTAACAAGCCAACCATTATGTTTAAAAAGAGTTTTCAGCGATGGATAAAGTTACTCATTCTTCTTTCTTCCAATCTTTTTTTGTGGCCGTTTTCATCTCAGGTGAATCCCCATGCCCCAAGACTTCCGATTGGTTAACCGGTGCGCAAGGGTTAATGATTGCACTTGTAGACTCTTTCCAGTCTCCACTCCTATTTAGTCTAGCTGATTGTTCTTTTGATGGCGGGGATTTTGTTATCGTTGAAGTTCTCCAAATTAGCAGTGAATTGTTAATACAACAATGATTCCAGAGATTGTGTTTAATCCATGGAGGACAACGTGTTGGTTAACAGGCCTTTGCTTTAGGTTTCACTGAGTTAAACGACTCGCAGAGTCATCGAACAACATTTACAAGGTCACGAAAATATTAAACAGTTCCCCCGGGCTATTGGCTCGACGTGTCCGTTTTGGGAAATTACTTGTTAGCGTGGACATGGCTGAAAACGGTGTTGAACTAGAATTGAAAGATGTTGCAGTAACGAGAAGCGAAAAGCTGAGCTCCCCGAGCACACAGCGTCCCAACTACGAGTCGCTGAAAGAACACAACGACAACAATGGTGAGCGATAAGTCAAAAATTCTGAGTTTACGTGCAACGAAGAGCTCATGGAATCATGGAGACCGCCTTCACTTTCTTTAGTGGTACATCTGAACTGGTTGATAAGGAAATTAGTAAACTGATTTTTTTGGACGCCGTCAAGGAAGAAATTAACGTTGTCATGATTTTGGTTAAATTATTGATGTATCTATATATATTCATAACACGAGCCGTTTGGGGTTAAACGTTAGTCTAATAAGCTGTATATCTAATTACGTCAATGCAAGGTTGACAATTATAAAGTCAAATTTAGATTCCCAACAGAATATCTGACCACATCAGAACATCTCTACTTGTTTTTAAGCTACATTGTTGAGTTTCATAACTGAGATTAATTATGCACTTGATGCACGACAGAGCATTTTTGTTTGTTTGGTTGGTTTTCTTTTATGTGTGTGGCATTTTAGACCATTTTGTGATGTTTTCAACAAGCTTCATCTTCACTGTACTCCTCTTATTCATTTTATCTTTAACGAGAGAGAGAGAGAGAGGATGTGCTCTAAATGATACATTAATACAACTTAACCCAAAACTCTTGATTTTATGGGGTGTCCCTCTGAAGTATATTTCAGATCTTAAGCATTTGGTCAAACAATAGATTCAATGAGCTCATGAGTAGCTCAGCTAGTGTGTCCTAAAACCTTGTTCATTTTGTTCCCTTCCTCTGAAAAACATCAACTTGAAATCAACAAAATTTACTTGGTCTGAGACAGGAAACCGCGGCAACAAATTATTTATGCTTCTATTCTGAATGCCATTCACATATTTTATGAGGTCTTGCGTCGTTTTGGAGGGTAATGACATTCACTCATTAAGGTTCCTATCATGTACCTATTGATTGAGTGTCTGGATGAAAAAAATATTTGGCTTTATCTCTTTTTCAGAAAATGTGGAACAAACATTCACTTTGTCTGAAGCTGTGGAGACAATTGGAATGGGAAAATTCCAGATCTTACTTATTCTTATGGCTGGCTTTGTCAATGTAAGTTTGCATTTGTAGCCCTACATTTCTTGTTTCATTGAAGTGAGATTTCCTCTCAGGCTATAGAAAAATTTTTTTGTTTGTTTTTTTTTTTTAGAATGATATCAGTAAAAATAAGATTTTAGGAAACAGGTTTATCACAGATACTTACCATTAGTTTTAGAGGTTAGCTTTATGCATGATTATTTTGATATTGTTCAGTACATTATGTGGTGCACTTGCACAGTAGAGTTCTGTCTGTGACAGATTATTTGAGTAAGATTAATGGTGTGGTTCAAATTTTACCTAATTTCAAAATTTCCCAAACTAGCTGAATTATGATAACATTTTACTTTATATATTAAGGTCTATCACTAAAGTCTTAGGCACCAGAAAACAATGGTTGGAAACTTTCATGGAGGGAAAAATTTAACACAGGAGATTTAGTGATTACAATTATAGTTTTAGATGAAGTCTTTGGAAGTAATGTGTCATAAGAAGTAAAAGTAATGTGTGTTGTATTGTAAATACTGTTTAGTTATGTTCATAATGAGTATATAATAATAGTTTTTAAAAAAGTCAAAAAGTGAATCCTTTTTGTGGAATTCTCTAACTTTTAGATGTGCGATTCCTTGGAGCTATTGTTGCTTGCTGTTTTGAGTCCAACAATTCACTGTCTGTGGCATTTGTCATCATGGGAAGAGGCTTTCATTACTACAGTGAGTGTTTTAATATAATTATATTAAGAAGACTGTTAAGAATTATAAGGAATGTGCAACAGACAGTAAAGGGAAATGATATTTTGATCGCAGGAGTGAGAGGGATAAAATGAACTTTCTCTGTATTATTTCAATGTGCTAGTAATTAGAGCCATCAGTAATGTCCCCCTCTGTTAAGAATTCTTTTGAAAATATCTTTGTTTAAATTGTCATAGTTTTTAATATTTGATTCATTTGCAAATTATTTGTGTGGCAGTTATATTTCTCCAGTGTAATGCAAGATTACCTTCATACAAAAAAATGATTTTTGCAACTGTACTGTATAACAGATGGAACCAAAGCCAGACTCAAAGTATATTTCTCCTGAACAGATATATTCTTAAAATGTTGTTTTTTGATTTTGTACCAATTAAATAGTTCAGGGTTCCACACACCTGTGCTTTTCCACAATTTTGAACCTCTTTATTTTGCTTCTGTAGCTTTAACAGTTGTTTCTTCTTGTGATTGCAGATTGTTTTTGTTGGTATGTCTGTTGGCTGTCCTGTGTGGGGCTGGTTATCTGATAATTTAGGACGAAAAAGTGTAAGTTAACATGATTGGGTGACAATGTTGCAACATTGCAGCTTTGTAAATTAAGGATTAAACCTTTGAAATGATTTTCACTTTCAGATGATTATTATAAGTGCAAGCTGGCTGTTCTATTTTGGTTTCATCAGTTCTTTTTCACCGCACTACTTCTGGCTTGTTGCATTAAGATGCTTGGTGGGATTTGGAATTGGTGGTATACCAACAATGTAAGTAAAAATATAACAGGGTAATTTAGTGTTATCAACTAAGTTGAAAAATTAATGTAAATTGGCCACCGTAAAGATTTTTAAGGCTAGCCTTTGCCAATTGCTCTTAGAAAGGGCTAACACTCAAAACATCAGCCTTTAAACTCTTTACGGTGGCCAATTTACATTTTCAACTCAGTTGGTAACAATAAATTACCCTGTTATACTCTCCCACTGATGCAGCACCTCAGTTTCTCTAGAAACTTACCCTCTTTAAGTAAAAGTATGTGTTATATCCAGTAAGTGAGAGATGATAAACTAAACAAAAGAGAACTGTCACATGAATGTAGAATTTGAATGATTTATGAAGGCCTGTTTTAATAACCATTCAAATCCAAGAAATGGCCCACTATTCCAAAGTTTATTGATTCAATTTAGAGTAGTGATCTATATAGGACCATTTAATGATTTGGAAGGTTGAAAACCAAGAATTGAAAGTCTGTTTCTCTCTGTATCCATAGGTACACACTTCTAATTGAATTTCTTCCCATCCATTTGAGGTCATACATTATCTTGTGCCTTGCTGTAAGTATTGTTTTTTACTACATGACACAAAGTGGAGTTGTCTGCTACCCTCAGCAAAGTATTTTGTAAGAACATCAAATTAAAACACAGTCTAACAAAGAAAAGACCTAAGATGTAATTGGAGATTTGCTTTAGGCTCTGAACTTTTTAAGGGTGATATACACTGTATTCACCTCCTTACTCTCTGTTAAGAGGTAACCACTTGTTACTCTCTTTTTGCTTCAGAAGGCAGCTATAAAGCAATGCCTTGCTACAACTTACTATTAAATTTTTGCCAGCCAACAAAAGCTTTTTAATAAGCTGCACCACTAGAGGTGAAAAGATCTGAATCCCCAAAGTAAAAAATAGGAAATTGGAGTACATAATAATGACATGGGAGTGGAAAAAAATTTTTACCTTTGAAATATAAGTTGCTTACTCAGAGTGTTTTTGTCTGTTTCCAGTTTTTCTGGGCACTTGGATCAACTTTTATGGTAGTTGTAGCACTTATTGTCATGCCCACACTTGGCTGGAGGTGGATGACTGCTATTGCAACAGTCCCTGTTATTATATTCATTATTTTATGTAGGGTAAGTAAATGTTTTGAAAAGTTCCAAATGCTATATTTCACTTTCTATTCCTTGAAACAGCTGAGTCTGTTGTCACAGTTTATCTCAGTATATCCTAGATTTCACTTTAGATACTCCTTTCTGAGAGCCAGATATTCTCTCCGGATTTGTTCTTACTATGAAAACTTAAATTTATTCAAATTTTAAGCTACATGTACTAGTTTGAAATGTTGGTTTTACTGCATGAGTACTGATAGTTATTCAAAACAAAGCTGTCAGATAAAATGGTCTGTCGTAGAGTAAAAACATTGTGATTGGGAATATTGCATGATGAAACCACCCATGGTATAATTAATGAATTATCAATTTTTACAAAGTGATAACACATTTACAAGTTATGAAATAATTAACTGGAGATATTTGTTTCTTCCCAGTGGTTGCCAGAATCACCTCGGTATCTGATTACTGCAGGTGAAAAAGAAAAAGGAATGGAGGTATTGGAGCGCATGGCCAGAATCAATGGCTCCAAGCTTCCACCAGGAACTCTTAAAATTGAAACACAGGTACATATTCTCCAGGAAGTATTAATCCAATTAGTGACTGGTTATATCCAACATGTTTTGATACTGATGATATTGCTTCCTTTTCCTTTACTTATGTTTTTCACTCTATTTGTTTTCAGACTGTTGAACGAGTGAAAATCCAAGTTCTTTTTAACTCAGAATATAGATTGACAACCCTTCTTCTCTGGCTAACTTTGTGAGTAAATCATTTTTTGTTTACTTGTTGTCAATGTTTAACAAGTCCCTTGTGGATCAGCTTGAAGGAAAGGCCAATCAAACATTTCACAAGTAAAATAAATTTTATTCATTTCTGGTCTTTTTTTTCTTCTGACAGTTTCACTTCTGGATTTTTGTACTATGGTGTTGTGTTGATGTCAGCCCAAGTTCTTCAGCAAGTCAGGCCAGATGAAAGTATTTGTGATCTAGGTTTGTTTCTTAAGTGTGAAGATCAAGACAGAGAGTCTTAGGGAAGGATTCACAACATCTAGAGGTTCACTTGGTGTGACTCAGAGATGAAATAACTACTATTAGTATATACCACACAAGTGAATAGACTTAGTGTTTTTTGCTCATGCTGATTGGCTTGTTTGGAAGTGAATAACAAGTACTATTCACCTCTGAGCAGTCATCATCAGACATCAATAGTTTTATTTCTGACCATTTCTCAGTATATTGACAGAAAGAAACTTTTTTTTTTGGTATCTGTGTGGCAAATAGTTGAACAATAATTCACCTCGATGTGGGTGAAAGTGGTGGATATTTACCTCACCACTTTGCAGCTCAAATGCAAAGTAGTAAATGATGCCCAATTGGTTTTCTTTGTGTTGTTGTTGTTTTTTTTCATGTGCATTTACCTCTTGCAGCTATTACCATCGTCAGATTAATGCAACAATATGTTTAACATATAATACGAGCAGACATTTTGCTCATTGCTTCTAGTGATGTACTTTATGTTAAACCATAAAGTATTGTTAGAATGGATAGCTAAAAATCATGCAACCTCAAAGACAAGGTTGTCAACAGTGCTATCATTTTGTTGTTGTATTAATCTTCAGAATTTTTTCCTTCTTAATTTCTGTTAGAGAGTTTGTCTACTGCTACTACTGAATGTGGCTGCCAACTTCTTACAGTCAATGATTATATGAATCTTCTTTGGACAACAGTTGCAGAGTATCCTGGTAAGTCCATAATATCCTTCTTCTCTCCACCCTCCCTACTGTTATAACATGAAAAGTCTACACAGTATTTCCTTACTACCTTGTGGTTACAATTTGGTACAACTGCTACTACTGAGTAACTAAGGGTTGTAACCTTTTGACCACTGGAGTTGACATTTAAGGCAAGCTTTTACCAGTAACTCTGCTCTTACTCAAAAGGCCTATAGTAATGAAGAATCCATGTTTGTTTTATGTTGAATAAGTTTGTCAAAGGTTTCTCTTTTTCTCTCTTTGTCAGGAATATTGTTTACAATGCTCTTTATGGAGAGGCTTGGTAGAAAAAAAACTTTGGCTGTAGAGTTCTTTATAATAGCTGCATGCTTGGGACTCATGTTTATTTGCACAGGAAGGTAAGTGCTGTCAATACAGTTAAAATGTACGATTATGTAGAATGGTCCCAAGGACTCATGTCAGTTTTGTAACAAATATGGTACTCCAGCAGTCGATTATAAGTGTATCCCAAGTCTTGGATTTCCTCATAGAGAAGGGGATGGACTGAAAATTGAATGCTATAAGTGTGATGATAAAAGCCAAGTATTTCAAAAAACAGCAACAATTAAGTGTGGAATTTGAAACTATGACCCAACCATTTCTTGCTCGTGTTATCAACCATTTGTGCTTTTATAAACACAATTGTAATGAACTTTTTCCCCTTCAACTGAACTTTTTTCCCTTCAACAGAACTTTACTGCTGGTACTTTTATTCCTGGCTCGTGGGATGTCATTAGGTGTCTTCCAAGGGTTTTTCGTTTATGCCCCTGAGGTAAGGCTCTTGCATTAGTTATATTTGCAGTTTGGAATTGTAATTTGCTACCAATTGTTGCGTATATTTAGTAATGAATAAGAACCAGTGCAGACAAACAGTGGAAAGATTTTAGACTTGGTTTACCATTTCTTGAGCTGCATGGTTTTTTCCCTTGGTTAAATTTTCCACATGGAATTTCTTTCTTTTGATGGAAATTCTTCCTTCAATTTTTTCTTCTCAAGGAAAAGTGTGGAGAGCTATTACATGAATACTTTTACGGGATAATTATTTTTTTTCCTTGTATGACATTTTTAGTGGAATTATCCACCCCCTGAGGGTGATCCTAAAGTTGCTGTTATTCCTTCAAAAAGATCATAGTGAAAAGAACAAAAGTTTTGAAATCCAGTCTTTAATGAGACACTTCATGTAAAATTTCTGCACTGGTGTTTGCTCTTTGGTTTATTTTAGGTTTATCCCACAGTCATCCGATCATTAGGATTTGGCTTTTGTTCTACCTGGGCTCGTTTTGGAGGAATGTTAACACCTTACATAGCTCAGGTAGGAGACAGATTAGTGGAGCTGTCATACCCATTAGACCCTTCAGTTACAAACTGTTATTCAAGTCTTGTCCCTCACTGCCAGTTGTACAATGGCCTCCTGCGAATAATGTTGGTGCAAAGCTTGTTAGAGCAAGGGTACTTTACCTTCTACTTTTCCATGCCTGTCCTCTTCAGTCAGTTACTGCTAGATGATTACTCCACTCATTTTCACCCAGTTTCTTCCTTGAATAAGATGGAAAGAATGTGAGAATGAAGGAAAGGATCAACAGTTTAAGAAGCTTCTGATTGTCAAACAAATTTTCCTTGTCAGTATCATAAGATGTGTAACAAGAACAGTGTGGTGAATATGAATTCTAATGTTTGAGTGTAATGGGTTAAATGGTGATTTGAGTATTTTTTTTTCCTCCATGTTGGTGCTGCAGGTATTGCTGCGAGTGTCCTGGAACTTGTCTCTTGTTGTTTATATATCCTTAAGCCTGATGTCTTTAGTTGCAACACTACTGCTTCCATATGAAACAAAGGGACGACCTATGCAGGTGAGTGCATCCAAATGCCTTCCAAGTTGTAAAAATGTTCGAGGTATTTCATGAATTCTTTTAGTGCTTTACGAATTGATTTTACGTTGAAACTATCCTTTTTCGTTTTCTTTTTTTTTTCTTTTAGGAAATGTGACAAAATGACTCTACTTGCTTAGAACACCATAGTTTAGTACTTAGTAGTTTGATTTACAAAGTATTTAAATTTCCGAAAAAAATAAATGCACAATCAACAATGGTTTTTAAGGGGGTAAGTTTCTAAAGAAATTGTGGTGCTGCTCAATGGGATATGACAAGATAATTTGGTTTTATCTACTGGGTTGATAAGGTAAATTGGCCACAGTAGAGAGGTCCTAAAGCTGACGTTTTCAGCGTTAGCGGTTTGCTAATTGACATTCTCAACTCACTTGCTAAAACTAAATTATCCAACAACAGTTTATTGTGTTTCACGTCCTCAGACCCTGTTCCTTTAACTTTGAACTTATAGAAATAGCACACGGGTGGGGGGGGGGGGGGTCAAAAATGGTTTACATTTTTTTCTCATATATATATATATATAGCTTAACCGTGTTTGACTGTGACACTACACTATTTAAATAAAGGTCTACCACTAAAACAAGGGCTTTATTTTAAGTTATTTAAAAGCCCGCTAATATTTTTTGTCATTGTGGCAAAGTGGTTTGGTCGAGGTGCTGTAAGAAATATTTAGAATTTATGATAATAGTGAGGTAAGAATTAGCGGCGGGAAAAAACTAGAAATCATCGCTATAGGAACATATCTCACCTGTTGTAGTGTCTTTGTTTACTAATAGCTCAAAGATGAAGAGAAAATTTGCTGAGATCGAATAATTGTCACACGAGGTGCAGGCGTCTGCGTCATTGGCCAATTTTTATTTTTTGGAAAATCAATAATAAATTAGTGATAAAAAGGTTTATTTAAATTTTATTATTGCTTAGCAGCATATGCATGCTCAAACTAATTTTAAATTCTGTTCGGTGTAATTGAATTTTTATTACCTTTGATATGAATCCGTAGCGGCAATCATGGGCGAAATCTCTTCCATTAGTAGTGTTGTAGATTGAGGAATTCTGAGAATACTGTATGATTAAAATATGGTATTTTCTGTAGAAACTGGACTCAAGAATATTAATCGTTAGATTTGAAATATATTTGTAAAATATTAGTTATAAATATATTTAAAGTAAGAATGATGTGTCAACTTTCTGATGAGAGTTTTGTAAATAAATATTTGGTGGGATTACTTTATTACTCTGTCCTTTTTTTTCTGTTCCATATCTGAAGCGCAGATTATGAGATCTGGGTTTTCTGAACTAAGATATCTTATTCGTCGAAGTCAAAACACAACCTCTTATTGATTTGCATTTCAAACAAGGGTTCGCACGTTTTCGGCCAGAAACGCAAAGAAAATTATTTTGAATAAATTACAGGTAATTAATGTTGAATTATTCATCGTCTATCAACGTGTAACGAGCATGGCGGACAATCTTAAGTCGTTAGCCTGCCAAAGAGCTCTCTTACGTGAACGTTTTCGACGTTGTAAGGGAAACAGTATGTTTGGAAGAAGAAGTGCACTGTTTAATGTGGAATTGTGGCCCTAAAAGAACACAGCCTCAGGTAAATAACCGCCTGCACGTGGACATGACATGGCGAGGAAAGTCAAAGATTTGGAAACAAATGCTCTGAAGGTAACTCATACTGTATTCTTGACGTTTGTTTTGGTGAATGGTTAGTGTGTTTTGTTGGTAACGGATAGTTTTAGTCCTTAGAAATAACTAGTTAAGAATGGTGGACTCAATCATCTTAGTTTGCTATGTGGGAGGAGTGAGATCAGAAGATCCCTGGAGGGGGGAGGTATTATGGGATCACTTGGATCACTTGGATCACAATAAAACCCGACCCTAGTAATAACGAGTTCTCCTTGACATTTTTTTCAGAGAAATGTGGGGGTGGTAATTGCAGGTTTACAGTGAGCGAAAGAAAATATTACTTCAGCAAAGTTTTGTTGCTTTTGAATTTGATCGGTTTCTTTTTTATTTATATCAGTCTTTGAAAAATCTCTAAAGGTGATAATAGCGTATGCAAACTTGAATTTAAGTGACAAGAAATGAAGAATCAAAAGTCGCTATGAAAATTTTTGATGAACAATTATTTCATCATCAATTTATTTACCCACCTTCTCTGTCATTTCAGTTTTATTTAAACTTAGCCGTCAGAAATGCAAAAGGAATCCTTTTTTGTCCATTCAGGGTGAATTATTTAATTCAGCGGTTGGAAAACGAGACATTATGCACCGAAGAACTATTAAGAAATTCCTCTATACAGTGATTATCAGCAATGAGATTGTTTTTCACTAAAACTTTATTTTCTTAACCGGATCCGAAAATGTGGTATTACTGGTTGGGTTTCTTATGTCTAAGATGGACAACTCTTGTTCCTTTACCGAAGATTAGACTTGGTTTTTATCTTCACAGTCTCAAGTTTTCTGGTCTGCAAATGTATTTGTAACATACGGATTTCGGTGTATAAGAGAAAATTCTACAGGAAATACTGGTAATTACATTAATTTCATCAAAAAATACGTGTGGGAACGCAGACATTACCAAGAAATTAATGAAATGAATTTTGGTTATTTCCCTCTTGACAAGTCTTAGGCTGTAATCAGCTTTATTTAATTAAGTTTCTTTACACGGCCAGCTTCATCATTTAACAATCACGTTCTTTTGTACAGTCTGTGTGAAGAGGCGACGATATGATGGGGATGAACTGGTCCTAGAGAAAAGATCAGATCTGTTGAGGAGGCAAAGAAACTCTTAGGATGGTTACCCTTCAAACGGTAAGTTGGTTATTTCATTCAAACTGGTAATGTCGTGTGTATTTCTCGTTATTTAAAGAGAGCTTGTCGACGTTTTGAAATGGGTGCTTTATTGGGTAAATTTTTTCGTCTGTATTTGCACATGAACGAGAACACTGAATTGTTTCTTTATCCGGTCTGAGAAATAAGTAAGTTTTTGCGGAAGTGGAAAGAGATGTTGTCGGGTTATCAAAAGAGACGCTGGCAACAAGAAGGCGTAAATGATATTATTTGTGGAAGAGGAAAAACAGAAAAGATTTCCGCATATCCCACAACTATTCTAAAACAAAGCATCACTCCCAAAGGTAAACTTTTGCATTCGCCATTGTTTTTTTTTTTTAGCAAATAAATGTATGCATAGTCAACACTAGGGTTCTACCAAAATCTTGCCGAAAAACAAATATCAACATCAGCTCTTGTGATAATTTGAAGTCCGTGTTTTCTTAATCATATCTCAGGCAATTTTAACATGATAATCAGATAAAGAAAATGTTTAAGTAATCACGTCGCTCGCTGAGCGAAACTTTATGAAATTTGATATTAGAAATTGATCGTATACGACTATTTAGAAGTGCGTGATCTTTATATTGTAAACGATACAGGAAGACAACCTTTAGGTTTTATTCGATAAAGTTACAGCGTATTCAGGCTTTTACGAAACACCATATTTACAAATTCTTGTGTACCTGTAGAACAAATGTAAATTTTTGTGAAATTTTTTTCTAAGATTCATTATTTGGTATTTAGGTTGTTTAGTTTATAATCTTGGTTTTCTTATTATCGTTTGCTTCCATGTACTTATTTAGGCCCAGAGCTTATTTTTAACTGTTCTTTTTTCACAGCTCTTTGGATCACCGTATTGTTTCAAGTCAAGCAAGACTCAAAGAACAAGAAAGAAAAACAATTTCACAAGCGATAGACAAGTTTACAGCAAAGGTAGAAAACAACGTTGACTAATATCTACTTCGACGGATATTTGAAACGAATTGCAGCTATGATGTTAATTATCCAAAATTTCTCGCAAATATTTCATTCTTAGGATGCAAATTAACCCAATTTTATTAAAGACTGTCGCGAAAGTTCAAGAAGTTTGAGCTTAGGATAAATTCAGGAATAAAACTGAATTTTGATGTTGTTTCTTGCTCACGTTTTTCTAGGCAAACCTCTGTTCAAAATTTGTAATTTTCCCGCCAAAAAACTTAGAAAAAATACGGGGTGCTTAAAATACGCATGCGCCAGTTTTCTTTAAATTTATTTTTCGAAGCTATGAGTAGTTGTTCAAAGTGGCGTAATTTTCCCGGAAAGAAAAATAGACGGCGCTCAAAATACGCATGCGCCGTTTTTTTTTTTTTTTTTTGTAATTAGAATATTTAAAATAACATTTTTATTGTTGGTATTAAATAAAGTAAAAAACTCGACGATGTTGTTTGCTGTTGTATTTCTAATCTTTATTTTCGTTCTTAAAATATATAAGTCAATAAACAATTCAACTATCTTCTCTTCTTATTTCCTTTATTAGTTAAGTGATTTTCAATAATCAAAAAAGTGTCAACTAAAGTTTTTTCAAATATATACTAAGACTTTTGGCGGGAAAATTTGGAGCAATTTGCACAGAGTTTCCCCTGACAACATTTTTGACAAAAAATTTAAACGGCTTCCTCTTAATTTTTCGGCCAAAATTGATGCGAACATCACCTTGTGCAAAATTTTTGGTCACGAAAACTTTGAAACAGCCTCTCGTAAGCGTTGACAACTTTTTTCTCCGAGTAATTTGTCTTTGAATTTTTTTTGCACAAAATGATATACACTCTACTCTTGCAATGAGCAACAAGGCAAGCTTTTCTTTTTGTGTACTGCGAACTGGCGTGTTTCCAATTTAAATTTTTTACTTAAAAATGATAAATATAGCTTGCCATGTTGTTACAAGAAATACATTTTTCAGCCATATTTTTTTTTGTGTTGCTGCACAGGATAATTTGACGCGAACTGATCAGTATTTGTTAAGAAAGAATTGATGTGTTGGAGCCAAAATAATCTTGAACCGTTTTCTTCTCTTTTGGTCGCAAAGACTCAGACAATCAGAGAATTTCTCGAGTCAAATTTTTTTCTTCACTAATAAATTCCGATTTCAGAATTTCTACACTTTTGTTTCATTAATCGTTGGCTGAAAGAGGTCTTTCTTATTTACAAGTAATACGTTAAAACCCTATAACTGGCTCAAAGAATATTATATCTTGTGCGAATTGTTATTATCCGCGACGACAACTTGAAATGGGTTATACAGACCATTATGAAATCGAAAACATCAAGCAATTCTATTCCGGTCTTCGAATTACAATCCTTGGGTGACATTACTATGAGCGACGTACGAAAGCAGACAAATTTCGTAGGGAAACGCTTGTTTAATTTGTGCTAATAAATCAGATTCTTTCCAGCGGAACAACAATTTATAAGCACCGTCAAGTGGGAGTTTTTTCTAAACAGATTAATAATGACTAACTTTAGTTCACAGACAACTTGAACTGAATAAATTCTCTACTTCTTTTTTTCTTGAATTCGACAGATTCTTAAAACTTTTATTTTGGGAGGTTATCGTGTTTTGTAGATCACTACAGCTTTCAAAAATTCCATCGGTCATGAGAAAATGAATCTTTGGTGATCCTCTGTTCTAAAGTAATATTAAGCTTACACTCGTTGTTTAATCGTCCAATTTTCACGAGAAGCTTTCTTTGTTAGTAGTTTTGTTTCTTATATGATAATATTTGCGAGTGGTCTGTATAACGTCAAATCAACGCTGTTAAACGAAATTTATTTTAGAATACTCCGAGCCAGACATTGGGGTTTAATACACTAAACTAGCAAAACGACAAGAGAACGTTGGCAAGTGGGCTTTACGTAAAACCTTAAGCAAATCATTCTTGTTTTTTATCAATAGCTATATAACAGCCACCGGTTTAAATTTGTGAGTAGCAGCCAAGTGTCAGTGACGGTAACTGGTCAGAATATGTCGTACTTTGTAGGATGTAGAGTACAGTAGATGGTTTCTGACGCGCCCGCAAACATTGCGGCCTGATCAGTAGATTTCAAAGTCCTATCAGGTTGTCGTCGTGGAAGAAAAAAAATCTCAAGGTATCTGTTTTCGTCTGATTAATTTCCCTGTGCTTCGCAATTAGGAGCGATTGTCGCTGCAGATTCCAAATAATCATAGCCTTTTGAAAGATCAAGGTGCAGGGTGATAACTGAAGTAATCCGTCAGTATGTGGCAGTTTTAGTAAACCGTTGTCCGTCGCTAACAATCAATCCCAAGTTGATGTCTTCAACTTCTTTCGTATATTGTATGTGTTCCTTAAGATGGTTGTCGAATTTCGTCATTGTAAACAACGTCAAATGTAAAGTAAGGAGTTAGTACACGTAGCGTAACAGAGGCAATAAAGGTCCTGCTCAGATTGTTAGTAACTAGCTACTCTTTTACGCGAATTGAATGAACTTGTTTGAATAATATTTTTTTGCCAAAGCAAGGTTTGGTTGCCAGTGTTCTCTTGTCATTTTAAATATTTAAGGTGGCACTGACTAATGTATTGACACAATTTTACACACTAACCTTCACTTGTCATCTTTCCACAAAGTGGTGCATAACGTCTCAACGAGTAGCCCGTGGAATGATATGTTTTGGGTCCCAGGAAATTGTTACTTTTTCAGTAAAGGCTTGGGGCCTTTTTTAGAACATTTCTTAATTAAGTTGGTATGTTCAGATTTTTCTTGAAAGTACCGTTTCTCTTATGGTGCCACCTTAAACTGTTAAAAATATCTACTTTATGGTACTAATGACTGCAGCTTGCACGAAGGGCAAAGCTCAAGAACTAAAGTCATGCGTAACTGATTTGTGTTTTTTAGTTGGTTGTAAAGCGAAAAGATTGCCAATCAGACGAGGTTGTTGGATCTACCCTTTCTCGTCGAGACTGTCAAGTTAAATTCGTTCAGTGGGATGATCACCCATGCTTAAAATCTTTTGTTTATTTTGTTTGATCTTACTTTCGTTTCTGTTTTGTTTTTCTTTTTAAGAATGAAAAATATTAACTTTGTGTAGAGCTGCAACATCAGTACCACGGCAAATCTCTTATGTATAACAAATATATTCTGTCTTATCTTTGCCGAGTTTCTTCTAGATTCGGTGATTCCATTTTGTCCTCCTCTCTTCTGACTTTATTCCTTGTTTCCTGTAAACAGAAATAGCAGAAGATTTACTCCTCATTTGGCTAATTGTTTTGAAGTTTTAAAAGGAACACGAATAAAATAAACTTCAAGCGCGAATGGTATCTCAGGCCAACAAATGAGGTCCTGGGTGGTAACAAAGTGTACAATCTATTTTAGAAACTTTTGGACAAGACTACTGGGAAATTTTCCGACGCAGTTCCTCTGTGTGTTTAGAAAAGCAAACACATCAAACACACGTGGCAGCGTTGCACTTGATATGTACACGACTCAATGTTTTTCCATACAATATTTAAAGACTTGATTAAAGGTAATTTCACCCAAAATATAACATAGTCTTCGTTGTATCTTTAGAACAGAGTTAGTTGGTTTTGAATTACGAACGAATTAAGGCGAAGCTTCAAGCGACTTCAAGCGACTCGAGAGCGCACGTGTTCAGAGAGTTTGGTGATTTCGACCGCAGTAAGGGAAATAAAATTAAACCAACAATTTATACGAAAACTAAACTCACTTTTGAGTGTGACAAGGTTGAGTTATGCCTTCAGCTTTCTGACATCAAGCAAACTTTTGGTTAAACTTTCTTGCTCAGTAACGTGTCTTCACTCGTTCACAGCCAGTTTGGTTTGGCGCAAATTCTGCAGTAGACCATGAATATGGATTAGGAAAATAAACCAATCACTGTCGAATACGTCATAAACTTGTTGGTTTACACGCCCTGTAGCATGCAAATGAAAACCCGAGGTAAATTAAAATCGACTAACATGTTGTTATCGGTGTAAAGCCCGCATTTAAAAAAATGTAAAAACTGATTCCAATCAGAAATGAAACGCTTCGGGAAAGTTAGAGAGGATAAGAATATTGCATAATCAAATACTGAAAATTTCAAGACGATATCAAGGAGTAATGGGAAAATGAAAGAATAAACTTAGGGGAAATACTTTTTGGTGCAAAAAAAATATCGAGGTACTCTGCCATACAGAAAACCGAGGCAACTGGAAATTACGCATTTCCCGACTTGAAAATTGTTACACAGAGCAAGAACTGGTTATTTTGCTACTTCTTCAGCCCTTCACACCCTTGCATCAGAATGCATATTCTCCTTACTATTCTCTGTACATTTCCTGAAGTGCTGAAAAGGAGAATTTGTTTAACAATCAAGAGCTTCTATGGTCGGCGATCAATTCCTTTATTCTCGGGACCTTAGTGTGTGATTCAGAGGTGATATCGCAAGAAGATATTAGATGCCAGTCAATCTTAAGGTCAAACGGGTAAAGAAACTACATCCAGAAGATAGAAAGAAGTAGAAAGAACAGAGAAAAATTTTCCCGACAAAAAAATTTTAATGACAATAGTTCCTGAGCACTTGATTCATAGAGTAAAACAACACTTTAAAGTTTAGATTTTGGTATATACGCCATGGCTGAATGCCACATTCCTAGATTTTCCTTCCACTAAAGCTATAGATGTATCCCATAATATTGCAAACTAATGTTTACGTCCCTTGACCAAAAAAATTGTTTTGAAATCGTGACATACGTTAAAAAAAAATCAAGGGGATGTTGAAAACGGTATATGCAATTGTTACTGTTGGAGCATATTAAAATGACCACCAGATTAGCTTTTCCCTTTTTCCTTTTGTCTCCCCACTCCGTCTCCCTCTTGATATGAAGAGAGGATAGGCACATAGCACAAAACAGAACGAGAAGGAAAGGGGTAAACTTGCT